TATATATATATATATATATATATATACATATATATATATATATATATGTATATATATATATATAGTGAGATTAGTATTTATTAGGATTATGTGTTATTATTATCATTATATAATATATATAATATATTATATATGTATATATATATTGTTTGTATGCTGTAGGTGGATTGTTAATTGATATTAGGGTTTGTAGTTTGTTTGTTGTTTGTTTTTTTACTTTGTTCGACTTTGAGGCTTTGCTTGTTGTTTGTGCTTATTACTGTTTATTCTCTCTATCGTCTAGGGTTTAGGGTTTAGGGTTTAGGGTTTAGAGTTTGTGATCAAACACTTTGTTCTTCTCGTGGTTTCGGGTTTAGGGTTTAGGTTTTTTTGTGTTTAACTTTTTTACTGTCTTCAGGGTTTAAGGCTTGCACCTAGATAGTCTTTTATTGTTTTTAGGGTTTAGGGTTTAGGGTTTAGGGTTTGTTGTGTGTGTTGTATAGAACTTCGAAGACGAGTTTGTTGTAGGGGGTTGCAACGGCTTAGGGCCCTGTCTCCGCGTTGGCGTCTCTTCTCGCCTGTCTCCTCCCAGGGCCCCTCTAGGGACTAATAGATTTGCATATGCTATCGGTTCTTACTGTGAGCTGCCGCAGCAGCAGCAGCAGCAGCAGGGGGTGCAGCAGCAGCAGGGGGTGCAGCAGCAGCAAGACGTGCAGCAGCAGCAGGGGCTGCAGCGACACAGGTGCGGATGCAGGTGCAACAGCGACGCCAGCAGCAGCAGTAGCAGCAGCAGCAGCAGCAGCAGCAGCGTGGCGTGTGTAAGAGGGGCCCCTCGCCGTCGAGGCCTCTTTGCTGTTACAGGAGGGAGACGCAAACGATTGAAAACCTCAAATATTATTTTCTCTCAACTGTCTCCTTCATTGTCTCCTTCAGATCAGTCAGAAATACAGCAGCAACAAGAGCAGCAGCAGCAGCAGCAACACCTGCTGCTACCGCCGCAAGACACGCACAGCGACACAGAGGGAAAGAAGGACCCAGCCGCTGCAGCACTCGATGCAGCAGCAGCAGCAGCAGCAGCAGCAGCTTCGCCCTGCGGTTGCTGTGGCTGCGCATGCGGGTGCGGCACGTCAGCTGCTCCAACTGCTGCTGCTGATGCTGCAGGTGCTGCTGCTGCAGCTTCCTGCTGCTGCAGCAAAGCAAGTGCTGTAGCACCTTGTTTAAAAGAAGGAGACATCGTTGGGTGCTTTATTCATTTGCCTGGGAGACCGCCAGCAACACTCGAAGATCCGCGGGGCCGCACAAACTTGTGGAGATTTCTGCAGCAAGGTGAGCAGCAAAAGAGACAAAAGGAGACAGTTGCAGCAAAAGAGACAAAAGGAGACAGTTGCAGCAAAAGGAGGCATTGAGCTGCAAAAGGAGACAGTAGCAGCAAAAGGAGACAGTAGCAGCAAAAGGAGACAGTAGCAGCAAAAGGAGGCATGCAGCAGCAAAAGAGATTAAAGGAGACAGGAGCAGCACAAGCAGCAACAGGAGACACTTGAGTGTCTCCTTCCTAATAAACAACTCACAGCAAGAGGCAGCCGCACAGCAGCTGTAGCAGCAGCAAGACTGCTGCTGCTGCTGCTGCTACTGCTGCTGCTGCTGCTTGTCCTCCCTAAAGCAAGGAATCGAACGCTGCAGTGTCTCCCTCTGTTTGCTGCTTGAGTTGCAGCAGCAGTGTATATTGGGGTGTACATGCAGCTTGGATATACATATATATATATATATATATTTATTTATTTATTTATTTATTTATTCTTCATTTTGTCTCGTTTTTTTTGTTTTTTTCTCAGGTCTTCTTTGTGATGTTACACACGACTCCACTCTACCTGAGGGTGTTATATATCCTTCTTCTTTTATTTCTTTTTCTGTTAACGGGCGTCTTTATCATCGAGTATTTGAGCCGCTTCTTTGCTGCGAGCTGCACCCCGCAGTCTCTCTCTTTAACGGGGCCTCCGCTACACTCAACTTGGGGCCCGACTTTGTTTTTCTTCCCCATGCGTTAAAGCCCTACTTCAGGTATAATAAACAATAACCTGCAGCAGCAGCAGCAGCAGCTGCTGCTGCTGCTGCTGCTGTTGCTGTTGTTGTTGTAGCAATAGCAGATGAGGATTGCTGCTGACGTTCTCCTGCTGCAGTTGGCGTTGCTGCTGCAGTTGCTGCTGCTCTTTGTTTCGCTCTAGCTGCTAAGCCTGTTACAGGAAGACGTATGCCCTCTTTGTAGCTTTGCTGCTGCTGCTGCTGCTGCTGCTGCTTTCAGGCCAGCACAGGAGATGCTGACATCTGTGTATCCATTGAAGCACGACCTTGTAAAGTTCTATCTGCTTGCTGCAGATAGCAGCAGCAGCAGCAGCAGCAGCAGCAGCAACGGGTATGAGGCCGGCAGATCTCCCAAACGGCTGCGGACACTTGCTGAGGTAGAAGGCATGAAGGACGAAGTCACCGACGAGCAGCAGCAGCAGCAACATCAGCAGCAGCAGCAGCAGCAGCAGCAACCTCTGCGGTTTGTACCATTTGATGAAGCAAAGTACCTCCGTAAACTCAAGGCAGCAGCTCCTCAGCTGCCTCTATGCTCCCCACCTTTGCAGCAGCAGCAGCAACGGAGGCAACAGCAGCGACAACCGCAGCAGCAGCAGCAGCAGCAGCAGCAAGATCCGCATTTCAGCCACCAGCCAAAGCAGCAACTGAAGCTGGGGACTTCTACTGAAACAATGACAAGTCGCACTGTTGCAGCAAAGGAAGAAGAAGCAACAGCACCAACAGAAGCAGCAGCAGCAGCAGCAGCAGCAGAGCCAAACGCACAAATTTAACAACAGCACGCCGCGCTTTAGAAAGGCACTAGAAGCAACAGCAGCAGCAGCTGCAGCTGGTGCAGCAGAAGCAACAGCAGCAGCAGCTGGTGCAGTAGAAGCAACAGCAGCAGCAGCAGCAGCAGCAGCAGCTGGTGCAGCAGAAGCAACAGCAGCAGTAGCAGCAGCATTATTTGCAGCAATACCAGCAACGGCTGTCTGCTGTTGCTGTGGGAGTTTTCCTTTTACTTTTTCTATTTTATTTGTTTTACACTTCGTTACCTAGCTAGCTGTTGTCTTAGCTGGTACACAGCAGCTAGCTGTTGCAGCAGCAGCTAGTCGACAGTGCTGCTGCTCCTTCGAATAGCTGCAGCTAGCTGCTGTAGCCGCTGTAACTGCCTCTAGTTGGTGTAGCTGCTGTAGCTGCTGCTAGCTGCTGTAGCTGCTGCTTTGCTGGTGTAGCTGCTGCTAGGTGCTGTAGCTAGCTGCTGTATGCGCAGCTAGGTGCTGTAACAGCAAGTAGCTGCTGTAGCAGCAAGTAGCTGCTGTAACAGCAGGTAGCTTCTGTCTCTGCAGCTAGCTGCTGCAGTTTTAACTATCTGTTGCAGTTGGAACCATGTGAGCGCAGCAGCTAGCTGCTTAGCTAGCTGTAGGTATTTGCAGCTAGCTAGCCTCGTAGCAGCACACATATTTTAAAGAGGAGATATCAGAGTTGTTGCTGAGGGTGGGAGAGAGACAAACAAAACACGAAAACTGCAACTCTCATTCGGAGTTCAGCGGGCTGTACATACACCCCAAGACGTCGCATGCAGCGCAGCAAATGCTGAGGAGGTTTGGATTAAACAAATATATTTAGTGGTGCTTATTCTGGTGGGGTTGCTCGTGATTCAAATGCCTGGGTCCTGTGCTCTCTGCTGCTGCTGCTGCTGCTGCTATTGCTGCTGCTTCTCTGTATGCCGCAGCAGCCTCCAGTCATCTGGCTCTCAGTAGCAGCAGCAGCAAGAGCAGCAGCGACAGTAGCAGCAGCAGCTGCTGCTACTGCAAGGACAGGTGACGCGAGGAGGAAATAGCAGAGCCTGATTGGAGTAAGCGAGCAGTTGATGCCTCAGCTGCGCGTCTGCTGCAGCAGGAAAATGTCGCTGTTGCTGTTGCTGTTGCTGTTGATGCTGCACAAGCTGCAGCAGCAACAACGTAAACGGGCTGCTGCTGTTGCAGCAGCTGAAAGCAGCAGCACGGCGACTTATCACGAGAGAACCTCCGCCAGCCTGCAACATAAAACAATGAAGCAAACAACGCCGCTCTGCTGTTGCTGCTGCAGCTGCTTTGTCTGCTGCTGTTGCTGCTTCTGCTGTTGCAGCAGCGGAGCGAGATAAGACGGACAGTAGACCGAGTAAACAAACAAAGGAGACAGACAGATAAAAACAAACCAAAGTGAGGAATAAAAGAAATGAGAAAGTAAGCAGAGACGAAGGCAGCAGCAGCCAAAGTGTATTGTCTCTGTCTCTGTCTCTGTCTCTGTCTCTGTCTCTGTCTCTCTCTCTCTCTCTCTCTCTCTCTCTCTCTCTCTCTCTATCTATCTATCTATCTATCTCTCTCTCTCTCTCTATCTATCTATCTATCTATCTAGCTATCTCTCTCTCTCTCTCTCTCTCTCTCTCTCTCTCTCTCTATCTCTCTCTCTCGCTGTCTCTCTCGCTGTCTCGCTTTTTCTTTCAGCAAGCAACTGTCTTTGTTCTATTACTCCTTTGTTGCTGTTGCTGCTGCTGTTGCTGCTGCTGCTGCTGCTGCTGCTGTTGCTGCTGTTGCTGCTGCTGCTACTGCTGTTGCTGCTGCTGCTTACCAATCCATTGCTGCTCCGAGTCCCTCTCCCTTAACTGCAGATGCGCTGAAGACAGACCATCGGCGCTCTCGCAGCGCGGGCAGCCCCAGCGCCATCGATATCTGCAGCAAACGGAGGAAGCAAAGAAATAAGTGTCTCCTTTGTCTCTTCGTGCTGCAGTAAAGAGACAAATAGGAGAATTCAAATCCTCATACACTTTATTCGGCTAACTAACGGTTGTTGCTGATGCTGCTGCTGCTGCTGCAGAAGCAGCAAGTATGCGGGCTGTCGCAGCTCTTGCTGCTGCTGCTGATCCTGCCGCTGCTGCTCCTTGCTACTACTGCTGCTGTTATTGCTACTGGCGCTGGGGATGATGGTGCTGCTGCTGCTGCTGCTGCTACTGCTGCTGCTGCTGCTGCTGCTGCTATTAATGCAGTCAATCGTGAGATGGGGCATTGCTCTCTGCGTTGCTGTTGTTGCTTTGCAGTGCAGATGTTTATATAATAAATATTATTTATATAAATAAATATAAACAAAATAAATATATACTATGATTATTACATTTTATATTTTATATATTAACAATTATATATATTACTAATAATATAATTATTAACAACTCATTGCTTTAAAGAAACCCAGAGCAAACAAACAGCAGCACAGACACCCGAAGGAGACAGATAAGAATCAGCAGCAAGAAGAGAGACGGAGACAGCAAAGAAAGAAATAAATAAACAAAAACAAACAGAGACAAAGACAGATGAACAGGTAAAGAAGAAAGAGACGGCTCCTGAGGTGTACGTACACCTCAAAACGAAACACAAACAACAAAGTAACAAAAGCAATGCAGGCTGTCTTAGACAAGACCACAACCCATCGACACCAGCTCCAGCAGCAGCAGCAGCAGTAGCAACGGTAACAGTAGCAGCAGCAGTAGCAGCAGCAGCAGCAGCAGCACACCTCTCCTTCGTTGAGCGCACGCGGCAGATCTTGTTTGTTTGCAATCACAGCGAGGGCTACATCCTTTAACTCCTCCTCCTGAAGCAAAACCCACAGCAACATGCTGCTGCTGCTGCTGTTGCTGCTGCTGCTGCTAAGGTGCAGAGGATCTCTGTAGAAGCTGGAGGTACTTATGCTGCTGCTGCTGCTGCGGCAAATTTCGTGCTGCAGCTGCAGCAACTGCTGCATTAGCGCCAGCGCATGCAGCAGTTGCACCCCGCAGCAGTTGCTGCTACTGCTGCAGCGGCAACTGCTGCATGCGTTCGCGCTGCTGCTGTTGCTGCTGCTGCTGCTGTTGCTGCAGCTACCTCTAGCATGAGCAACAGCTCCTGCCTTGCATCCGGAAGCCGCTCCACATCTGCACTATCAACGACGTAGATGAGGGCTTGAGTGTTGAGGTAATAACACCGCCAATAAGGCCTGCACCCAAACCCTAAACCCTAAACCCTAAACCGTATGCAAACCCTAGAATCTAGCCCGAAAGCAATCCCTACACCCTAGGCAACGCGAAAACCCTAAACCCTCAACCCCAAACGCTATCGTCGCACGCACCACAGGCCACCGTGTTTACTCTCAGCCAAGCCTTAGGGTTTAGGGTTTAGGGTTTAGGGTTTAGGGTTTGTGGCTCGCCTGATTGATGTCTGCCCGCCCAAATCCCAGACCTGAAATTCGATGTTTTTATATTTGACGGTCTCCACGTTGAATCCGATTGCTGCACAACAAAAACAAAAATAAACCAGTGGCTGTAGCTGCTGCTGCTGCTGCTGTTGCTGCTGCTGTTTGCTGCTGCTGTTGCTGTTGTTCATGCTGCTGCTGCCGCTGCTGTTGCTGCTGCTGCACTCACTGGGTACGGTTTGTATGACTTCGTTAAGGTGTAGGCGATCTGCGCACAAACAAATAGCTGCAGCAACGCCGTTGTTACTTGTGCTGCTGCTGCTGCTGCTGCTGTTGCTGGTTCCGTCTCTGCTGCTTCTGCTTCTGCTGCTTCTGCTGCTTCTGCTGCTTCTGCTGGTGGTGTCTCTGGTATTGCTGCAGCCGCTTCTGTGTTGATGCTGCGCTGTGTGCTGCTTGCCTTTGCTGCTGCTGCTGAGTAGGAGTCAGCAGCGACAGCAGCAGCAGCGCCCGCAGCAACGAAGTTCATACATGCAGCAGCAGCAGCAATCGACAGTATTCAAGGTGACCAGCGGCTATATGTGCAGCTAGCTAGCTAGACATCTCGAAAGCTAGCCATGCGGATACCTAGATACCCAGCTAGCTGAGCAGCTAGCTAGCTTTCCAGCTAGCTGGCGGGGTACCTAAGCAGCTACCTCGGCAGCTAGCTATGCAGCTAGCTAAGCAACCAGCTACCCAAGCACCTAGAGAGGGAGCTAGCTTCTTCGCTGCAAGCCATCTACCTAGCTAGCTCGTCAGACAGACAGCTAGCTAGAGAGCTAGCTAGAGAGCTAGCTAGGCAGCTAGCTAGACAGCTGGCTAGGAAGCTAGTTAGACAGCTAGGTAGACAGCTAGCTAGCTAGACACCTAGCTAGCTAGCTAGCTAGCTAGCTATGCTTACAGAGGATCGTGGTCTTGCCAGCGTTGTCAAGGCCGAGAATCAACACGCGGACTTCGCGCCCCCCAAAGAGGCGAGGGAACCAAGAGGAGAGAGCCCCTCCCATCTCGCAAACCCTAAACCCTAAACCCTAAACCCTAAACCCTGATCATTGAGGGCGGTCCATAGACCAAGGATGCGGGGATCGGGATCGAGGAAGCCGCTCCCGATCCCCGAGCACTGTGAGGTACCCGAGCCACACCCTCTGCTGCTGCTGCTGCTGCTGCCCTTGCTGCTGTCGCTGCTGTTGCTGTTGCTGCTGCTGCTGTTGTTGTGAGTGCTGCTGTAGCTGCTGTCTTGCGGTCAACCCCAGTTAGCAACAGCAGCTGTAGGAAAGGAGCTCCCCCAGTGCAGCATATTCTGCTGCCGGTTTTTGCTGCTGTTGCTGCTACTGCTGCTTCGTGCTGCAGCAGCTAACGTGCTGCAGCAGCTCACTTGCTGCAGCGCAGCAGGAAGCCTGTGTCTCAGTCAAAGCAGCAGCACCCCGACTCACAAGCCCGAGCGCTACACCCTAAATAATAGATTTTATTACTGCGATTATTCATCAAAATTGAGTTAAAGACACAGTTGTTGAAACAACGCGGGCTGAAGGCATGCAGCAGCAGCAGCAGCAGCAGCAGCGGCAGCAGCAGCGGGTGGCGCTGCTGCTGCTCCAGGAGTCGGCACAGAAGAACTGAAAAGTTTGAAGACGCTTTGCAGTTTCAGATGCAAATCTATGAAGCCAAACCCTTGGGTGTTCTCGGTTGGTGCAGTATTAACAAAATCTTAACCCAGCTGTCTCCTCGCTCACGCTGCGGTGTCTCCGCAGCTACGAGAGCAGAGCATATTTTTTCTGTCTTACTTCCCTTCTGCCGCCCTTTCAAGCACCCACATACACCCCATATAGACCGAGCTGTATATACACCTCAGAAGGCTCACAGATATGCATAAACGGAGGGGGAGGGGGGCGAGCAGGTTGCAAGGTATATTGAACCCTTTATGTGTATATACACTGTAGCGCCTCTCATCCCTGGGTTAAGGAATGCATGCACAGCCTTCAAGCCCCAAGTGAGTCTACCAACGCAGGGGTATCTCTGTACAAAAGGACCTGGCCTGCGAATGAGTACAGTTCAGTGGTGTACACTCGTAGAGTGTCGCGATAGTGGTGAGTGCATTTTTTTCGTAGTTGTTAAACTTTAGGTATTATAAATTAGTCATGAGAGGGCCCCACATGGTGGGGAAGAGTGCCCAGTAGATTCGTACGAGCCAGCGCTACTGTAGGCCTGTGAGGGAAGTTAGTCCTTGTGGTGCAGCTGACTTCGACTTGAGCGCAGATTAGTAGCTGATGAGCGCAGATTAGTAGCTGACCGTTAAGAGTGTGTGCAAGAGTAAATTGCAGCGCTAGTTGATGCTGCAGAAGGGGTGGTGGATGTGGCTGCTTGTGGGGGTGCCGCCCAGCGGGAGGTGCAGACCGGTGTGTTGTAACTCATGCAAGCTCGCCTCCTGCATCACCAGCCCCACACCCAGGGAAGTTAGCTTCCTATTAGGAACGCAAGGCAATAGTTTCCCCCGAGTCTGTTGCCATTCTTGTTCCTGCAGCAGCAGCAGCAATAGGTACTGCTGCAAGTGGCACTGAAGCAACACATTGTTTTGCTTTAGCAGTAGCAGCAGCGAGGGGAGCCTCTGTCTGCTGCTGCCGTCGCAGCAGCAGCAGCAACAGTCAAGACGGAGACCAACCAATGTCTGGGGACCTCGTTGCACTTGGTAAAAACGAATGATTAGGTGGTACAAGCACGAGCTGCGCGCTGCCTCCCATCAGCTAGGCGCCCCAGTGTACAGCACTGATTAGCGATAAGCACCTTTTCCACTTTAAAGGTCGATACTTTCCATCAAGAACAGAGAAGGCTTATGAGTATCTGCCTTCCGGCAGATCCTCACGTGCTTGCATTGAAACTGGAGCAGTAGGCGCAGCAGAAAATGACCTCCATTGCGAAGAGAACTAACGAAAGATCCTTGCACCCTTGATGGCTTTCCAAACATAACTGGCGCTGCAATTCGGGGGCAGTGGAAGGATTCCTAGCTTGTCTGGAGGCTTGCATCTTCAAAGGGTAACCCACATTGTACAGTTGCTGCTTGCTTCCGCCTTCTTAGGAAGGGATTCACGACAGTGGTGATTATCAATCAGCAACCCCACCACTTCCCCGTAGCGCATCCGGTTGATGGAAGCTTTCCTAGGTATACTGCGACGCGGACTTATCTCCAGGGCGGCAAGGTAACAGGCTATAGCAGAACAAATAAAACTCAGGCAAGCGGCATTGTCAATAGAGCAGTATATAAAGAAGTATCCATAGTCGGAGAACAATGGTTTCCACGAAGACTCTATCATTTCTTCATATCACCACGAGAGAAGTTTTCCGTATATGGTTGGCTCAGGAGAGGAAAATGAAAGAATGAAAATATATGATATGGGGGACTGATTTCGCAGCGGAAAAAGGAGAAGCACCGCAGTTTCCCACCTGAGAAGGAAGGATAATGGTTCTGGAAACGAAAATTTAGAGGATTCCATGGATATTGGGAAAAGAAGACTGTGCCGAGTTCTGTGCTTCTGGAAGAAATGAAAGAGAGCTCGGCTCAGCGCTCCACAAGTCATTCGCCCTCTACACAGTAAGAGTTGCGGTACGAGGTTCCCGAACAGGAAGCAGCGAGGCGACTTAAGCCCAGGGCAAAGGGGCTGTTGGATACGACGCAGAAAAGCATGCACTCCGTCGCGATGTTCTTTGGGGATTTCGGTCGAGTTTAAGGAGTTAAAACTCAAGGAACGACACAAGTGGACAGTGTTGAAATATTTCTGAGATGTTTTGATAAATAACAAGGGGTTTGCAGCTCGCTTTGCCCTTTCTTGACGAGCATAGCACCGCATATGGCGCTCTTAGAGCAGCTTTAATGTCTGCTCTAAGGTACACTCAACCCACATATCTTGAAGAGGAAATCAAGAGGGGAGCAGACGAATGCGAATGAAGACGGCAAAGTTCAACCGTCGGTTAGCATGTTCAGATGGATTCCAGCGGTGCGTCGCCGCTTGTAGGGCGCAGCAGTTTATCCGTGGTTGGTGTCCGCATACGCATTTGTGTAGACTTCAATGCGGCGCAATGAGAGGTAAGAGACTGCGCTTCTTACACCCACAAACTAGAGAAAACCTGTACGCCTCTCCAGCTCGTGAATGCACCTGCCGAAGTGAAGTGACAGGCCAATCGCAATTTCGTTGGCCTAGTCATTCAAGTACTTAAGGCTATGTACATGGACAAGATAAGCATATTTGCCCAGAACCTGCAGGGGCGGTCGCAACGGAGGCGCCATGCTGTGATGTCATGCGATGCATGCACCCACTCAAGAGAGACCATGCTATAATGAACCTGTACTGCAATGCTCAGAACTCCTGCAGGCGAGAGAAGGCGGCAACATCTGATATTCTTTCTTTTGAGTGTTTTGTTCCTCAAAGCTCTCGACAGCAGAGAGACGGGACAGGAGGAGCAACCCTACCCTCCGCAGGGCTCTGGAGGGCTGCAGATCCTGAGTCGCGAATATGCTCTTGTGATGAAAGCAAACAAATACTAGCATGTACAGCGCAGAAGATGAAAGTGCGTCCTATATACATACATATATCCTTCCACCTGAAGTATGGCTGGTCGCTGCAAGTGAGAGATGCACAGTATTCTCCCGTTCTGTGTGGAGTTGAAGCAGCAAAGATCGAACAATTTTTAAACGAAAATTATATTTATTCACTAGAAGCAGTAAGAAGCCCCACACGCTGTGAAGTACTTTATTATGTCTCGCATCTTATGGCTGCTGAACATGAGACGCGCTTAAGAGGAGCTGCTTTGTTGCGTAGAGAAGGGGAAAGGGGCTGTTCACCTTGACAAAAGCATCGATGAAATAGTATAAATACTCTACAAATATATATATTTATTTTAATCAATGTTCACAGGCTCGAGGGCTTTAACCCGGAAAAGGCTGCAGCAACAGGGCGCCCCCATACGAAAACCCCAGCAGTTGCTGCTGCTAGGCTAACCGGGCTTGCTAGCAGCAGCATAATATAAACTCTTCTTGCGTTTGTAGTACGTTGTTTTTTTTGTTGAACAGGAGCCTTAGTGGGGCCCCCTTGCTGCTGCTGTACAGCTGCTGCTGCTGCTGCTGCTGCCGCCTGCAGTAGTACGCCTAGGCCGCGCCGAAGCTGCTGCAGCAGCACCTGGCGGCAGCTGAGGCTCCTGTAGGGCAGGCAGACCCCGTAAAGGGTTTCGCTCATATACCTTTTATTTCCTCGTTAAATCCATCACCATTATAGATATAACCTGATAAGACGGTTTAGCGGAGAGGCCCTTCGGTTGCAGGAGAAGCAGTAGTAGGTAGTAGTAGTAGTAGTAGTAGCAGCAGCAGCAGCAGCAGCCTCCCGTGCAACAGGGGCCCTGCCCTGCGTGCTGCGCTGCTGCTGGGGCCTCTTCTGCTGCAGTTGCTGCAGGAATATCTGGTGCTCAGGTCGAGGGGTTCTCATATATTGGATAGGGGGAGTAGTGCGGCATCTCGAGTCTTCTGTGCGTGTCTCTGCAGCAGCAGCAGCAGCTGCTGCTGCTGCTGTTGCTGCTGCTTCGCTGCATGCCAAACGCGTCTCGCGTGAAGTGCTGCTCTGAGCGTCTGTTAATTCTCCTGTCTCCTTTCCAGCTCTCCTCTACCTTTGTGTTTTCGAGGTAGAGGCGCGCTGGCCCTTCAGACGCCTGGGGGCCTCCGCTTTCTTCTGCCGGCGCTGCTGCTGCTGCTGCTGCTGCGGCTGCTGCAAAGTCCCTCTCGCTCTGTCTGCTCCCCCGAGCCTGAAGAGTCAGCAGCAGTAGCAGGTGCTGATTGCAGCTTCAAAGCAGCTGAATGAAGTTGGTTGTCTGAGGCCCTCGAGAGCTGTGGGGCCGCTCCTACCTCTTCGTCTGCAGCAGCAGCAACTACATCTGCTGCTGCTGCTGCCCTTGGCATTTGAAGGTTGACAGCAGAGATCGAAGCGGTGCAGCAGAAGAGAGGAGGAGGCGCTGCTTGTTCTCTCTGCCGCTTCTTTCTCTCTTATAGGGCATGAGTTTCTTAATGGACGGCCGCACTACCGCAGAGGCCGCGAGGCCCCTTGCAGCAGTTGGAGCACCTGCAGCAGCAGCAGCAGCAGGAAATGCTTCTTTTGCGGCGCATGCAGCGGCTGCGCCGTCCCACGCCTTCACCCGTGCTGCTGCGCCCTTCGCGACCCCAGCAGCAGCAGCAGCAGCAGCCTTCCACGCCGTTGCTGCAGCTGCAATGCCTGCAGCAGCAACGAATCCAGCAGCGGCAATGGCTTCAGCACTTGCTGCAGCAGGGAGGCCCCTCTCCGTAGCAGCTGTCCCTCAGGCCGCTGTAGGGCCGCTATTACAGCAAACGCAGATGCCTTGTATTCCGCTGGCTTCGCATGCAAACGCATCGCCTGTTGTTTCTGCTGCTTCTGCGGCTCCAGCTGCTGCTGCCCCTGCTGCAGAAGCTCCTGCGCATGTAGGGGCGTCGCCGAGAGGAGGAGCGCCTGTATCAGGCACTCCCTATGCCGCAGCAGCTTCGGCAGCAGCACCTGCAGCAGCAGCAGCAACACGTGCTGCTGGTGGTACTTCATCTGCAGCAACTGCCGCCCCTACATCAGTTACTGCTTCAGCTCCTGGAGGAACAGTTCCTGCTGCAGCATCGGCACCTCAATCAGCAACAGCAGCCCCAGCAGCAGCTGCTGCAGCTCCCGCAGGAGCAGCAGCCGGCCAAGCCGCGGGCGCTCGGGGTGCATCGACTGCACCTGTGTTTGCTGGCGCAGCAGCAATGCCATGCGCGCCTGCTGTAACTGCTGCAGCAGCTGCTGCAGCAGGAAACATTGGTGCTGCTGGCGTTCCGCCGGCTGCTGCAGCAAAGGCAGCAGCGCCTCGCGGGGGCCGTGGTGGCAGTCGAGGGGGTCGTCGGGGTCGGAGTGCAGCAGGAGCAGCAGCAGCATCAGCTGCAGCAGGGGCGACACAAGCTGCTGGGGAGCGGCCCCAACGAGCGCGGAGGGCCCCTCGAATGTTTGAGGTTGATGCAGCAGCAGACGACAAACTACTGAAGGTCGCTATTGGCCGCTCTCTCCTAGTGAGACACAACAGCCTGCTGCTGCTGCTGCATCTGTTGCTGCTGCTGCTGGTATACAGCCAGCAGGAGTAGCAGCTGCTGCTGCTGTTGTTGGTGTTGCTGCTGGTGCTGGTGGTGGTGCAGCACCAGCAGCAGCAGCAGCAGCTTTAGTGGTGCACTTAGCAGCAGGGGGCATCAGGGGGAGCTGGAGATTGAGGGCTGAGAGGAGACAGCTTTTTTTTTGTTTTGTTTGAAAGCGTCTGTCTGTTATGTTTGTTTTATTAAAGAGACAGTGCCTGTGCGCTGCTCGATTGGTAGCAGCGGGTATGGCTTGTGCATTGCGTTGTGTTATCTTACTTTTTCTTTCTTTTCTCTCAGTGTTTGTTTAATAAACCTCATTTGTTTGTTTGTAGGGCTTTGTGTGTTAGTGAATCGGTTTTCTTGTATTTGTTTGCTGTGGAGGGGCGCTGCAAGTATGTTTATTGTTATTATTTATTTATTATTATTATTTTATTGTTTTTGTTTCTTTATTAGGAGACGCGTCGCGTGGAGATGAATTATTCTTCTTTACCTGCAGTACCTGAGCTGCGTTTTCCTTCTCGTGCTGCATTTGCAACAAACCCAATTACTTTTTTCGAAAGTCTTCGAGCTATTGGTCGAGAGTTTGGCGCTGTTAAAATTATTCCTCCTCCAGACTGGGATCCGCCTTTTGCTTTGGAGGCTCTTACTAATGATCAGGCGCTCTTTCATGTGCGCACCCAGGAGGTACACTCCCTTATGTCTGGAAAGGTAATATACAAACCCTAAACCCAGCAGATTAACGCTATGATATGCGGTGCTTTCTTCTTTCTTAATACATCGTGGGTTTCTGATGTTGGGGGTTTGTTTGTTTGCTTTTTTTTGCAAAGTGTTTTGCTGTTTGTTTGTTTTTTTCCCTTTTACTTCGCTCTTCTTTTGATGTTTTTCTTCTGCCCGGTTCATTGGCTGGGTACAGCAGTAGAGTCTCTGAACCGCTGTTAGGTTACCGCTGTTATGGTGCTGCTGTTATGTTGCTGCTGTTATGCTGCTGTTATGTTGCTGCTGCAGCCGTTTCAACACCCTGAGACGCCTGTGCATGCCTCTGAGCTGCGGTCGCACGACCGGGAGCTTACTCGTCAAGTGTTTGGCTGCTGCAACCCCAGCATAGAGACAGTTGAGGCTGTCTATTGGAAGAGTGTTGAGAGCGGGACTCCTCAGCTGACGGTGCACTACGCTGCAGACCTCCGCACTAACGAGCTTGGCAGCGGCTTCCCAGTAGCTCCAACAGCACCAGGAACGGCTGCTGATGCTGCTGGTGTGGCTGCTGCGGCGGCAGATGGCTCTACAACAGCTTGCACAAGGAGCAGCAGCAGCAACGCCAGCAGCAGCAGCAGCACAGAAGCCAGCGTGGGGGGTAGTCCTCAAGAGCGGCAATGCCATCCACCTGCACCGCCTGTTGCAGATTGTGTGGCGAAGACAGAGCCGCACCATCTGCAGCACCAGCAGCAGTTGTTGCTGTTGCAACAGAAGCAGCAGCAGGAGCCTGAGCAAGACTACAACTATGCTACGCACCCCTGGAACTTGGCGCGCCTAGCCCGGGTTGAAGGCTCTTTGCTGCGCCATTATCACCGCGATGTGCCTGGTGTTACTTCACCTTGGCTGTATGTAGGGACAGTCTTCTCAAGCTTCTGCTGGCATACAGAAGACAACTTCTTCGCAGCATGCAACTACCACCATTGGGGGTCGCCCAAGGTATGTTGGGTGTTGTTGTATGCGCTTTTTTGCTGCTTTCTCTTCGTTTTTTGTCTGCTGTCCCTGTGTTTTGTCTGCTGCTGCTGCAGCTGCTGTTATTGTTGGTTGTTTTTGCTTGCTGTTGGTCGGTTTTTCTCGTTCGTTAGCATCTGTTCGCTTTCTGTGTTGTTGGTCTTTGTTGTTTCTGTTGCATCGGCATCGCTTTGAACGAGCTGTAGAGACACCGCGGGCTTAGTTGGCACTACCTAATGGTGACACGCGCCAATCCCTTGCTGCTGCTGCTTTTGCTGCTGTTGCTGTTGCTGCAGATATGGTATGTGGTGCCGCCTTCTCGTGCTTCGTCAGTGGAGCGGACTCTGCAGTCTTACCTTGCAGATCGGGACCCTCACTACGTGCTGCATTCTCTAACTGTTCAGCTTCCTCCTTCTCTGTTTGTAGAAAACAATATCCCTGTATACCGCATTGAACAGCACCCCAAAGAATTCGTCATGCTCTGGCCCCGCACCTACCACGCAGGATTCAATGCTGGGTAAGCGAGAAAGAGACCTCGGCGCTGCTGCAGCTGCTAATACTGCTGGTGCTACTGCTGTTACTGTTGCTGCTGCAGCTGCTAATACTGGTGCTAGGCTTGGGGGCCCCAGCGACGCGGGCTGCAGTGTGTATTGGTGTTTGGTTGTCGAGATGCTTGATTGCGTGCAAGACAGAATGATTGAATGCGTTTGCTTCTTGGTTGAGGAATTGAATTGCTTTCTTTCTGGTGTTTGCTGTGGGTGTTGTGTTGTTTCAGCTTCAACTGCAACGAGGCATGCAACTTCGCTCCTCCTTTGTGGCTCCAGTGGGGTCAGAAGGCTATTAGAAGTTACCGCTATATGCGTTCAACTTGCATTCCTTATCAGCAGTTAGTGCTTCGTTCTGCTTTGCAGTCTTCGGGTGGCTTCTCTGGGCGGCAGCAGCTGGAGCTGTGTCGTGCAGTTGCCCGTTTGCTGCTTGAGGAGTTCGCTGGGCGCACTGCTGCAGTTGAGCAGCAGCTTGCTGCTGCTCCCATGCAGCTTGCTGCAGGCCAGCTGAACCTCGTGGAAGCCCTCGACCCCGACGTAAAAGGGTGGAGGCAAGACCTGAGGCGGCTCCTGTCTTCTTTCGGAGATCTTCTGGTGCCGCTGCCGTTTGGGGAGGGCGAGGGACCGAAGGAGGAGCTGTTGCTGCGCATAGGGGAGGTGTTGACTCTGCCGGTGAAAGATTGCAGCAGCTGCAAGGCCTGTTGCTCTCTCACCTGCGTTACCTGCTGCCACCAGGAAGACTACGTCTGCCTCGATTGTATAGGCACCCTTTCTTGCAACTGCGCGCAGCGCGTCGTCCTCACGCGCTTCCCCCTGCCTACTCTTCGTCTTATTTACCAGCACTGTCTTGATACACTGATGCTGCACACCAAGGAAGCCACCACAGAGAAAGCGGGGTTGAAGCAGGGAGTGCAGCAGCAGCAGCAGCAACAGGTTGGGGAGGGCAGTGCAGGGGAGGGCGGGGCTGCGAAGGAGGGCACAACTGTGTCTGTCTCTTCGGAGCTGCCGGTCAGTGCAGCAGTGGCGACAGCAGCAGCAGAAGTTGCTGCAGTTGTTGGAGGAGTTGCAATGAAATGCCCTTCTCCAGGAGCAGATGAGTTGGCCCCCCGTAAGCGAGGAAGGCCTCGCACTGCTGCTCGCGGTGTGGGCGAGGTGAAGCGGCGAGCAGCAGGTGAGGCAGGTGCTGCAGCAGCACCTCAGGAGAAGCCCTTGTTGCAGGAGATTCAGGAAGACACTCTGCTGCAGTCCGTACCTCCTATGAGCGAATTGGTTGCACTTGAACGCAAGGCGTACAGAGGAGTTGATTACTATGCAGTCAGCTACAACGACGAAACGGAGCAAGAGCCGGAACCTCAGCCGCCATCTCCTCCTGCTGCCGGCGGTGCTCTTACTGCTGTTGGCGTAGACCCCCTGCAGCAGCAGCAGCAGGAGCAGCAGCAGCAGCAACAGCAGCAACCCCACCCGGCAGTCGCGCAATTACCTGCAGCAGACAATCCCGCCCTCCTACACCAACTGGGCTTGCAGGGATTTGCTGCTGCCGCATTACAGCATCGCTCGCTGCAGCAGTCACAAGAGGCACAGCAGCAAGAACTCAAGCAGCAGCAAGAGCTGCTGCAGATCCAGCTGCTTCTGGGAGAGCAACGCATGCTCGACAGCCCCACGGAACAACAACTGGCGGCTCTGCAACAGCACCACGAGCAGCAGCAGTTGCAGCAGCAGCAACTGCAGCAACAGCACCGCCAACTGCAACAGCAGCAGTTGCAGCTACAGCAGCAGTTGCAACAGCAGTTGCAGCAGCAACTACAGCAGCAGTTGCAGCAGCAGCAACACCTGCAGCAGCAGCAACAGAGACACACAGACTTGCACTCGTTGCAAGCTGGGGCTCTGGAGCTGCATGCACACCACGGCATGCTGCCGCAATCCCAGGCCAGCCGCAGCCTCAGCTCGCTCTCAGCCCAGCCGCCGCAGCAGCAGCAGCTGCAGCAGCAGCGGGAGGGAGACCAGCGTCTCCCCGGAGTCTCTCCCCTGACGCACCGCCTGGCGGAGACACGCTGTAGCAGCCAGCTGGGAGGCATGGGTTTGTCGCAGCAACAAGAGGGAGATGACAGCAGCACGAAGAACAAGGAGCCTTTGGCTGTAGACTGCGGGGAATGGGCCCCTTGTGAGGTGGGGTCTCAGCTGGATATTAGTGTGGGGCGGCTCAGCAGCTCGCAGGTGCCGGCACCTGAGGAGGCCCCCCCAGTTGTGGGGCGAAGAGGACGCCGAGTTGTACCCTTTAGAGTAATACCACCGGAATTGGTGGTAGACAGGAGGAGGGAGTTGGCTGTGCGGAGGTACGTGCAACAACTGACATGGAGGTATTTCATTAAAACGCTCAAGGAGGAAGCAGAAGACGACGACGAACAAATCCTACCCATGTTTAAACGTGCCGCCGCGAGGCCCGAACCCTAAATCTATTTACATTTATATTTATTTGTATAACTATAAATAATCATAGGCAGGGTCGGGTGGGGGTTGCGGGTTTTGCCGGGAGGCGCTGCAGTCAACGCTTGTACAGATAGATGCTTGAGATATCTTTATGGTTCCTAACGTCATTACATTTATTTATGTCATGTTGCATTCGTTGTATCTGCGTCGATGACAAGCAGATGCAACAACATACTTTTTGAAAGGGTGAAGGAATAACGAACTGCGAATAGCGACAGACGGACAGTACAGATCGCTTCAAAGCGCTGTGGGCCTTTGCGCACCTGCAGATTTCTGTGTATCAACAGAGGGGGTGGCGGGGGTTGGGAGTTGTCTGGTCTTATGAAATGTGGCAAAGGAGATGTATGTATAAACCCAGGCATCCATCTATACAGGCACGCAACGGTGTATCCATACCTACGTGAATATATATATATATATATATATATATATATATATATATGCTCAACGTACCTTTGCATGCATCTAGATATCAGGCACATACAGACAGACACAAGGAAACGGATACAGTACAGAGATGAGAACAGTGAGGATTGACTTAAAACAGGGCTGCTAGCAGAGAAGGAACCGGTCGGAGGGCTCCACAGCCTTCATGCCTTTGCTTTCTTCTTTGCTGCTGCTTTTGTCCTCCATTGGGGGATGCCTCACAACGCCAGCCTTGGGTCCTTATTGCAGGCAAGCAACGCGCATTGGCGCTGCCGCCTGCATCTCCCTAACACAGATAGAGCAGAGGGAGAGGGTTTGCCGCTACCGCCGGCCAGACGGGCTTCTACCAAGCTTTTATTCATCGCAAACTGACTCGGGACAGCTGTGTGCTGCTGCGTAATACACAGTAGCTCCAGTCACGCAGGCTAGCCATTAGCTGGCTAGCTAGCTCAGAAATGGCTAGTTGCGCTGACCTCCGCAGAGAATAGTCACTTGAGCATTGGAGCTGTGGTGAGCATGTACGAGGTTTGCACCCTCCTCACACTTAACCGGGCTAAACACGTAACCGGACTAAACGCTACAGGCAACGTGACAAAGCGCAGCAGCCACGAGTGCAGCATTCTCTTCTCTAGAGGCCCTACAGAAAAAACAGTAAACCTCAGTTCGTATCCCCCAGCTGGCTAGCACTATGCGCCTATTGTATGCATGAATGCGAAGAATTGCTGGTTTAAAAAAAAAAGGTCGTTGTTCGCTACTGCAAGGTAAACGGGATTTGAGGCGAAGAGCCGACAGGACAGCGCACGCCAGCAAGCAATAGTAGTGTTCGTGTAAGTGGCAATGACAGCGAACGAATTTTACTACTGTTGTGCACTCCGCTTTCGCTTGATGAATCCTCGTCGCCTGAAGATAGACTCTCTCAGGCGATTCTTCCGTTGCAGCTCTTTGGCTTTGTTTCTGCGGCGTTTCCGCTGGGCGTGTGCTTGTGGGTTTTCTAAGAATGTCTGCTGCGCCTTCAGCTTGCGCATTACCCGCTTGGCTGAGACGTTCTGCCGCGTTGTTGCAAGCAACACATGGTATAGTTGCTCGTGACCACTGTTCCTCAGCAGTTGCTCCATGCGGCGAAGCACAAGAGCCCCTCCCGTTGCTACCTCCCCAAGCTGCATCAAGGGGCTCAACGAACGCAGCGAGTCCCATAGGTTCTTCTGGCTGCTATCTCGCGCTCGAGAGTCGCCAGTCACCGTATTGCTGGCCACCACACACTCCGCCCGCACTCCATTTTCAATCAGCTGCGCCAGCACAGACTCCGCTGCCAGCTCAGAGTGAAGCGTAGAGCATCGATATGCTGCATCAGCGACGTGTTCGAGCACCGCCTGCACAACGCCGCCCGATGTCACAGCTGCTGTTGCCTGTGTCTTTTCAGAGGGCTGCTGCAGCTCCGCCAGCGGAAGCAGCTTGATAAGAGAACTAAAGAAAGCCACAATTCCCGAAACGCGCGCAACTGTGCCAGGGGGTCTTTCGGACTTAGGAAGGCTGTCGCCGGTAAAACCCAAGCGGCCCAAGTGTATGCGGAGCCAGCGGCTAAGCCCTGAAACAAGAAACACCAGGGGATGCACCTGGGTTGTTGCCGCACCAGTGAGGTCCCTCTGATTTTTCTGTTCACTGTCAGACGAGTAGACACTCCAGGAGGTCTTTGGCACCGGGAGTGCGGCCGCCGGTTGTCTCGCTGCCAATAATGTCTTGTCAGTCCCGTCATTTGACGCTTCCCGTTGCATTTCTTCTAAAATAAATTCCTCTTCCTCGCCGCCATCAGCCTCATCTACCTCTCCCTCACCGTCACTGTCAGGTGAGGAGCTCTCGCCCTCCTCTTCCTCTTCCAAGGCGTTCTTGTCATTCTGAGACTCCCCCTCATCCCCTGAACCCACTCTCTCAGTTGGCTGCGCCGGAGCAATCTTCTCCGAATCCGCCTTCTCCTCATTAGCAACAGCGCACTCGGGTGGAGACGTTGCAATTCCCTCTGCAGTTGATGCAGCCGTCACATCAACGCCTGCATCTGAGGGACATCCGCCTTCCTGCCCAGTCTTCTCGAGGGCGCTTTCCTCAGTGCCCAACTGCAGGTGCTTCTGTGGAGAGTCCTCACTGCCGCTGTTTGCTTCCGCGGCATCGGCGCAGTTGTGCAAGTTCGCCCGAGTCCTGCTGCGCGGCTTTCGGGTGATCGAGACGAGGTGCGGGAAGGTGTAGGCGATCTGCGCCCAGTTGAGAAGAGCCGCGATAGCGCATGGCGCAGCAGACGGGTGCCGCTCCACCATGGTATCTTTGCCCAAGTGCTGCCCTAGGGCCAAGCCTAACGTTGTCAGGGGAGGTGGCTGCGCTGCTGACATGCGATTTCCTTTCGGCGTTCGCCCTTTTCTTCCTACAACAAGAAATGCAAGAAGAGGAACGTTAGAGCGGCGCCACGCAGAAGCCGGCGTTCTCTGGAGGTACTGGGCAACGCAGCGCAGTGCCGCGCATCGCACCCACGCATTTTCGTGGTGCAGACCACTTTCGACTATGTCCTGCCAGAGCTGAGCTACATGCAGCCCTGCAGCAACTTGCTGCCGCTGCGGTAGCTGCGGATTAGAAGGTTTTGCCGTCTTTTCACCTTTTCCTCCCTCGGGCGACGGGGCGGCCTGCCATACATTCAGAGTGTTTATGAATAATTCCATTCGTCGCCTTTCCAGAGCAGCGCCCTCTGCCTCCTCGGCGGCATCTGCTCCTGCTGCTGCGGTCAGGGTGAGCAGCTCCTCGCGGCCACCTTCCCTCCAGATCTGTGCAGCTTTCCCAAAGGCCTCCTCCATCCAAGGGAGGCCGCCCATTGTCAGCAGCTGTTCAAACACCAAAATGATCTTGTAAAGCAGACGCCAGTCTATCGACACGTCAATGGCGTCCGCACGTGGCGCTCCTGCTGCTACGTAGGAAACAGCACAGAGGAGCTGCAGCACTTTCGGCAGAAAAGGGGTAAGGCCTCCCTTTTGAACAAACGCTCCACCAATATGAGGCACAAAGACGCTCAAAAACTCAAGAAGAGCCGTTAAGTGCTGCATCCGTGGCACTAGGAAAATCCTGCACACAACACACCGCACCCCGACAGCAAACGACCTGCAATGAAAACCCAGGAAGCGCGTCAGCAAGCGTTTGCAGACACGGATAACACTGCGTTTCATGATCTGTCTTCCAGATAGCCATGCGAGGCACAACGGATCGACGCCGCTCGCCTACTTTGAAAGTGTCTTCAGCTGGTCTTGGAGGCGTAAAATGGGGTCATCCGCCACCTCAACGAGCTGCAGAACTTCCCGCACGACCTGCTGCAGCAGCGCATGGGCCGTCTGGTCGGTTTCTGTGGCCAGCGTTGAGCAGCACGTCAGCAGCGCCACCTGCCCGTAACGCTCCAAGAACAGCTCCGCTGGGAACCGCCTCTGAGCAGGCAACCAACACACACCAGGTGAAAACACTTTGAAATGAAGTACAGGCAGTCGATGTACTGCAGCAGCAAAGCAGCAATACGATTCTGCAATCAGTCAATCGCACCAAAGGAACAATTATGTGCTTCTTAAAATGAAATTGTCAATTAATTCAAGCCATTCTACTTAAACGAAAAAAATGCTTGTTGTAGTGAATTGTACATCTAAACTCCGATCTACAACAAGTGTAGCGAGACGTCCTCTTTGATGTCGTCTCCAACTTTTGCTCAAATAATCCATGGAATAGCCAAAACAACCGCAGGAAAAAGTTTGCAATAATTGCTGAGGAGATGTTGAATGGAACAACTGAATACGACACACGTTGCCCTTCCAGCTGCACTCACCACCACTTTGTGAAGCGCCGCAATGGCCACCCGTCGGCCATAGACGTCAGAGAACTTCTGCTGCTGAAAAAGAAAAAAGACGCGTCTCTGTTGCAGACGGGGTGTCATGGGAAAGTTGAGAAGGAAAGACACGTAGACGTCGGCGCAAATGGACGATAGCTTCTGACTGACTGCTGAGAAGCTTGCATGCTGCACCATCACGCGAGCCACGCGGTCTACACACTCGTATACGAGGGGAAGCAACTCCGCCGCCGCTGTCCCCTGCTTAGCCGCTGTACCCTCTCCTTCTTCTGCCGCTTTTGCATCTCTCTGTCTCTTCTTCTGGGCTCTTCGTTGCAAAGCTTGGCTGCTCATTGCCCCCGCTGCCTGCTTCGACTCTTCCACGGCACGTCTGGCAGCCTCGTCCACGAGGTCTTTGTAGTGCTGCAGAACGACACGTTTGAAAAGGAAGAGAGCGCACAGCTGCAGCTGACTGTCTTCTAAAGAAGATGAGATGTGCGCAAGCAGAGCTTCCTTCAGGAAGAACTGCCCCGCAGCCTGTAACTGCTCTTCCGTCACCGCTGCGGTGGCGCTGAAGCTGACATCTGCCTGAGGCAGCAGAACGCCCACTCCTGCATTCCCCTGCTGCTGCCGTTGCTGCTGTTGGTGCTGCTGCCGTTGCTGCTGCAGCTGGTCTTGGTATCTCCACGGCAGCACGCGGAGCTGCTCTCGCAAAAGGGACCTGAGGATGTCTCCGCCGATGTGCTGCGACGGGTTCAGTGCGGTGTCCATCCACTTGGAGGCCTGCGGTTGCAGCAGCAGAACAGCTAAGAGTTTGGTGCAGATAGGAAGCAGCTCCGAACGAGCCGTGTAATAGTCTGCGCCCTGTACGCCGCTGCCACCTCCACACGAGTGAAATATCTTCATTGTCAGGTACGCCACGAGGGCGCCTCGGCTCTCCAGACGAGGCAGACGGAAGGCTAGCAGCTCCAGCAAGCAGCGGGCTCCCCAGGATACAAGCTTTGTTGACCTGCAACTGAAGCAGCAGACGACCTCAAGCGCCACTTCGTCCAGCTGGTCCAGACAAGCCCGCAGAGCTAACTCGTGCATCTCCTTGGCAGCCTTTAGAGGTTGTTGTCGCGGCGAGGCTAGTCCGAGCTGCTTCGCAGCAAAGTTCTTTAGGGGCGCCTTCGCTGCTTTTACAGAGAGGTGAAGGAGACGAAGAGCTGCTGTTCCCAGCAAAGAAGACTGGGTAGACAGCTCAAGCCCAGTCGCTCCTTGGTCCGGTTTGTTTCGCGTTGCTTGTACTAACGAACGACCCGTGATGGCGCCGGGCTGCAGGGTGAAGCGTCGCTCTTTGCTCGAATTGAGCAGCGACACCAGAAGCTTCCTGCTGCTGCTGTTGGCCCCGCCTTCCCGCCTCTGAGAATAAGGCGGTGCTTCTGTCTGGTCTTGGGTGTTCATTTCGTCTTCCTTCGCTCCCGGGAGCAGTAGGCGTCGCAGGGCTTGCAAGTCCTCTTGATGCGGAGCTGACAGGGTCAGCGGCAGTTTACTGCCAGGGCCGTCCGGCTCTAGCTGTTGTGCAGCCGCCGCCGCTGATTCGCAGTTGGCAAGGCCAGCCTGCGTCTCCTTGCTGGCGTTATCGATGCTGTGAGTTTTTTTGCCCCGCTTCTTGCGGCCCAGCAGCAGCAGCTGCTGCCTAGACAGCAAGAATAAGGACTCCTTGAGGCCTCGCTCAGCTTGCAGCACAGGGTGGAGGAGCGGGAACTGCAATGTTGCAACGGTGAGGATAAGGAGTTGCTTGACGGTACGTAGTTTCTTGTCAAGCGAAATCCTGCTGTTGCGGTTCAGGCCAAAAACGAAGTGCAGCAGCAAATCCTCAGCCCGGTTGACATACTTGCTCGAAAAAGCAGCCGAGCTGCTCCACCCCTCGCGTTTACACGAGTCCCCAGTGAGAAGGCCCAGCGCAAAAGGAAGCAGGTGGTCTGTGAGACACTGCTGGGTGCTGTCTTTCGTCAGGAGTAGCAGCATAGAGGGGCCCTTCAGCGACTGCGCCTCTTCAATCTTAGAATGCGTACTGACGTCGCTCAGCTTTGCAACGGAAGAACTCGACAGGCCGCCACCCTCACTCCCGTCCAGTTGTCCAGCCAAGCCGCGCCGGCTATCCTCTTGGTCAAGCCGGTCTGGGTCTGCCACCCTGTTTATTTCCTAAGATGCCAAACAACGCATGTGGCTTCCCCAATACAATTTACGAGTTCCTACGACAGTTGCCCTGAATTTCTTATGTACGCACACGACTCGAAGCTGCAGCTGGATTCATGCTCAAATGAAAGCTTTACTTACCTCTGCAATTAGAGGAAGCAGCAATGGAACAGCAGCTTCAAACTGTTGAACGAACTGTGTACCATCGGTAGTGGAGGCTTCCTGTTGTGCGTGCAGCGCAGCGGGCTCCGCCGAGGCGCTTTGCTGTTGCTGCTGCAAGGCGTTCAGCATTGCATGCAACGTGAACAGCAGCACGGGCCGCAGAAAGCTCTGTTGGTCTGCCTCTGGGTTCTTCTCGCTCTTGGGTCCCAACATTCTCTGCACCTCCGTCACCAGGTAAGTGAAGTATGAAGACCCCAGGCTGACAGTCAAGCGAGTCAGAGCTATTCGGGCCTCCCGCCGAGCAGTGCGCTCTCGAGATCTGCCCACAGCCAACGCACCAAAAACGCATTAGCAGATGAAGTAGAGGCTGCTGTTGTGCTCTGCCTGCACGGCGGCACGAGCAAGAAACGTAACGGAACAGGTCGTTGTTGCTGCCGAAGCATGTTTTCCTTCCCTTTTACCTAAATATCAGTCACGACAATCTACAGCAGGGGTAAAGCAACTCACCGCAGAGCGAGGGCGATTGAACGAACGAGACGGGGCAGCTGCAGATGAAATTCAGTAGGAGGCAGCATCCGCGCCAGCATGGCAAGAACGGCTACTAGCTCTGTGCGCACCACAGGGTTTGCGTAAGTTTTGTTCCTTTGTTCAAGGAGTTTCTCGGACGCGTCTGTGGCTTCTCCCCTTGACGCCACCCGCCTGACTTTGCTGCCAAAGGCAAGGGGGTACAACATGGGTATGAGCTCGTCTCTGATGCAGCTTTCCACTCTCTCCCGCCTAAAAGGAATTCATTCCACAACAGCACGAAAGCACAGTAGCTATCAACTACAGCGAGTCCCACGATACAAGAGGTGCAAATGCCAAGCCTGACGAACCTTCTTTGCGCAAAAAGCTGTTTCGAAGTTCCCGTTCCGCCAGACTCATCTCCACTGTTTGCCTCCTCCTCAAACCCTGCTCGCCCAGGCAGATGTGTTTTTGCCTGCTCTCCTTGGTGTGGCTCTTGAACCGGCGAGGACTCCTTGGCTGCGCCGCTATCTGAAACATCTTTATCCTCTCTTTCTTCTTTCTGCTCAAGGGCGAGCCGAGGCTGGTTGCCTACTGCTTGGTGTGTTTGGTGTACTGCATCGGACAGACCAAAGGGAAATGCCTTTAGCGTCGCGGCGATTGCGCGGTGTATGAACGCTTCCCGCTGCGGCACTTTGGTGAGGTACATCACCAGCTGCTTCAGAGTCTGAATGCAACTCTTGAGGGGCAGACGAGTACAGCACTGGGCCAGACAAGCAACTCCCTGGTCTGCCATCTGCTGACTGAACGCCTCCGTACGGCCTTTGGGCTTTCGTAACGAAGTCTTGGCACCCTCTTGTTTTTCTGATGTATCCTTTGCGACGTTTTCTTGGAGAATAGCCCAAAGAGCTAGGGGCACGCAGACGTGCCTCACCGTGTTCATGCACAGCTTCTGCGCTGCAGCCGCCTTTGCAAGTAGCTGTAAGCCTCGGGCTCTTCTGTGTTTCTGCATATGCAGCAGCTCCAGCAAGACATCTCCCCCGCCTTCGCGTTCAGAGGCTTGCCTCTCTCCCGCAAGCGCCTCCAGTTGTGCGGCGCGTGCAGCGGCGGTGGCTGCACGCGCGGCCTGCCCGCTGGAAACCAACTCCTGCGCCAGCGCAGCAGCTTCTTGAACTGCAGGTGTCAGCTGGGGTGGTGTGAGCAGCGAATACAGGTCCAAATGCAACCGCATACTCCTCTGTTGCTGATCTGCATCGGACAGAAACAAAGTCGAAACGGAGTCCTCATCGTCGTCCGCTGCAGCGGCCTGAGGCGGGGGTAGCAGCGGGCCTGCTGGCCCCAGAGTCCGCACAAGTGCATCCAATGCCCGTAGAGCCATTCGCTGACAATCTTCTTTGACGCTACGCATAAGTCGGTGGAGGTGCGGAACGATGAACTTCATGATAAGTCGCTGCATTGCAACAGCAAAGCTCCAATCGGATTCCAGCGCCTCCTCAGGCGGAACCTCCTCTTCCTGGTTAGCTGCAAACTGAGCTACAGTCCGCCGCGTCGCTGCTGCAGAAGCGGCTGCTCCCAGAGCTACGGCCGCCTTGCGGATAATTGTCAGGGCTACGTGCTGCAGCGTAATATCATCGGAGCACTCGGAGAGAAGATACAGCACATGCTGCACAATTGGTTCCAACGCGGAAGCAGGAATATTTACTCCACATACAGAAGGCATCTGCCCTCGTTCTGCTAGCCTAGAACCCTCCTCTTGCACACTCTCCAGGTGAGGCTGTACCCGCGGTGCTTCTCCTGCTTCTTCTTGCTGTTCCCGTATCATGTGCTTTGCCCCTTCGCTGCCATCCACTTTGTCCTCTGCTGTGGACAGGTGATGGGCCTGCGCGTCCTCAACAGGTTCCTCAGATGCACTGTGAGTGGACGCTGCCAAAGCAGGAGGACTTAGGTGGTTCTCGACCATCGCCAGCAACACCAAAACCTGCATGTCTACGTCCGGCCTCTGCTCCTCCGGCGCACCGCGGTTCCCTGCCTTCAGGAGGTTGGCGCAGACCATCACAAGAGCAACGCTAACGCGCCAAGAGGCTGCCAGTGCGCTGCGCTTGTTTCCCTCTAGAGCAGATGGCAAGGAATTCTTTAGAAGGCTTTTGCAGACAGTTCCTCCAGGAATTAACCAGGAAATGGCTGAAGCCATCTTTGAAGCATCTTCCCCTTCCTCCTCGGCGCGCCGGAAAGCATTCAACTCCTTCATGGCACACTCGCGGATCTGCGTCGTTAGTACCTCCTCTGTCAGCACGCAGCCGCATGCAGCCAGTTCAGTTGCCAGCAGCACTTCGGAGGCAGCGGCGCGGCACTGCAGATCTTCTGCGCTCTCTAGTAAACTGCAGCAAGTATCATAGAGCCCCCGAAGCAACTCGCACAGCTCTACCACACCACTGCGTGGGTCAGCGCTAGACGCGCAAGACCGCCGCCAGAAAGCCACAGAGGGCAACAGTCCCTGTATAGCGGCTAGTGTCAGCTGCTGCCTCGCTGCTGCACCTCCAGATCGAACCCTCAGAGGCAAGGAAAGGAGCAACAGCCGAATCAACTTTGCTGTCGTTGGAACCGCACGTTCCTCAGAAATAGAAATCTTATCTGGAAACCGCGGCTGCTGCAGCAAGAGGTCCTTGTCCGCGCAGGCATACGCAGCAAGACGGGTTAGAAGCTGCAACTCCTTGAAGCCCACAAGGAGAAATTTCTCTCTGCGTTGGATGAAGGGCTGTTGCGCCGGCTTCTCCACAGGAGAAGCTACAGCTCCTTCAAGTGCCGCGAGAGGTTGGGATGTTGACTGTTCCTCGCCCTGCTTTCGGGTAGCCGCGCCTCTCCTTGCGTTGAGCAACAGCTCCATGCAGTGCAGCAAGGTGCCCAAGTGAGGCAGCAGCACTTGTAGACCCCGCTGTTGTTCAAGTTCTTGCTGTCTTTGCAATGCCTCGTACGCCTCCCGGAAGGTCTGTAACGACCTTGCCTTGTCAGTTTCGACAAAACCAGCCTGCTGATTTTGCTCATCTTCGTCGCTCTCATCAGACGAGCTGGACTGGTGGCCACGGCGCCGGCGCCTCCTCTCGTTTACGTGTTTCATTGCATTGAATTCGCGCTGAGAAAGTCGTAGTTCCTCCTCCTGTTGTTCCTTTGTACGTCCGCCGAAAGAAAGCAACAAAGCTGTCTCTATCGCCACCTCCAATAGAGGAGTTGTACTGCGTCTGCTGCGCTGCAAGAAGCGCAGCAGCGGTTCTGACCCGATGGCTCCAAGAAGGGAAGGTAAAGCTTTCGGAAGCAGTTCCTCGTACAGCACGAAGTAATCCTACAGAACGCACACGCATCCATACAACAAAACTCTAAAGAAATTACTAGTTTAAGGACAAGAAGATCTTGAATCCGCTCTTTCAGCACGCTGCTGTACATGCATCGAGAACACCGCGCCACTATATGGGTCTTCACACGTTGCCAGCAAAAGCAACCACCGCAAAGGCCCTTGGCGTGAATCCTAAGAACTTAAGGCGCTTGTCGAAGCTTTGTTATTGCTGCCTGTCTAAGGGTGGATAATGCTGCTGGGCGTCTTCCTGCGCGAGTGCCGCCTGTAGAAATGCATTTTCTCACCGCATTGGACGCCCAAGAGGCAACGAAGCGTACAATCGCAGGACACGTCCCACCACCTTTGACATCTCCTGAATATCCAGTCGCCCCCGTCTCGACTGCAGCTGAGAGCAGCAGCTGCAGAGCGGGTGCTGCTGGCGAGAGGAGCACCTTCCAAGCCCCAACAAAGTCCGGGAAGGCGCTAAAAAGTTGATGCAGAGCGTCAATCGCTATTCGAATGCAGTGCTTCTTGTGGCGCGCATTGGTGCTAGCTGCCGCTTCGGCTCTACGCTCCATTGTGAATTCAGAGGCGTCTGCTTCCGGCAAGTCTCCCTCCGCTTGCTGTTCGTCAGTTGCTTCTTCATCTTCAGGTTTTTCTGTGTCATCTGTTACCATTTCCCGCACTTCATGGGAGTGGGTGTTGGCTCCCGATGCAGTTGGAAGGAGGTGCTGCAAAATCTCGCCAAAGAGAAATACCAAGAAGGGGGCTCCTGGCCGCAATGTGTGCTGCTGCATTTGCACCAGATGCTGTAGCGACTTTAGCAACCCGTGCAGCTGAGTTGATGCGGAAGGCCCGAGCAATTGATCTGAGAGTGTCACGTGCACTGGGGGCTCCGCCGATTCATTGTCTTTGGAGGCAGCACCAGCTGCTGCACTAGAAGCAGCGCCTCCCAGGGTTTGTGCTCTGTGGTGCTGCCACCGTATGAAAGCCACCAGCGCACGCTCCTTGTCCATTCCCTCTAAAGGCCTTGCAGCTCGCAGGTCTCCTCCTGATTTGTCAGCAGAGGAACCACTAACCCGTGGCGTCAGTCGCAACAACCGCATGGCCAGCACCGACAGAACCATTGGCACTTCCGCTTCGTCGAGGCTGCTCAGCAAGCCGAAAATTCGCCGCCGGTTCGCCAACACCACTCCAGGAGACCTCCCCCTGAACAGCACAATCCAGATGCCGCGCAAAGGCATCAACTTGCAGCCTTAAAGCTGCGCGTATGAGCACAGCCCTTGCTGAAAATCACTGTCTTGCTCACGCGAGTGACACTAGCGCAACAACCAAACGTGTCACTAGATAATAAGCTATAAGGTTGCATCCTGAGGACCCAGAGGATAGCATCGCAAGCAAATTCCGCCTAAGAAACATTCTCACATTTTGACTTGGGTTTTGCTGATGAGGAGGCGAACGATAAGCGGCAACATAAAAGCTCGATGCTCGGGAAGTAAGACGACGTCCTGTTTAGTCTCAGCGGGATGATGCAGGAGCTGCCACTCGGCCTCTTCCTTTCCCAGGACAAGGCGCAAAAGGCCAGAAGGCGCTCCCCCCTTGTCTTTCAGTGCCTCCTCCAGCACTGGGAAATACGGCTTCACCACCTGCTGGAGCTCTCGACAAAGCATTATCGTCTGAACACAGGACAGGACAACATAGCTACAGCGCCACCTTGTGAAGCACGCTGCCGTCATTGCAAAAAAACCCTGGCAAATCTTATTGAGCTTAAGGCTAACCTGAAGAACAAGTCCCTGAAGCGAGGCGTCTCGCACGCCGATAAGGCGTTGCGCGCAAGATTCCAAAAGTTTTTGCCAAAGACTTTCCAGCTCCCGAACCTCCCTGTTGACCTCGCTCTCCTCTACGTAGTTTGTCTCGTTCTCGTAGACGGGGTCTTCACATGGAAGGCCTAACAAGCGCCGTCCAACCCCGGGAAACCGTATTTCCCCGAAAGAAATGATGGCTCGGAGCACATCCTGTGCACGCGGGATCAAAGAGGCGGTGGCAAGCAGCGACATGCACTCGCGCTGCTGCTGCTGCTCGCCTCTGTCACTGCAGCTGTTGCTGCTGACCGAGGTAGCCGCCGGCAATCCACGCGCTCCATAAACTGTTTCCCCACAACCAACTTCCTCGCCGTCTCCTATTGTACTGCGGCTATCAGTTGAACGAGTAAGCTGAACAGCAATTCGCTCTCCATATATCAGCAAGAACCGGAGGGCGTTCTGGGCAAAGCTACGCCTCCACGTCATTGCCCCTTGAAAGACGGTGGGTTGCTGTGGCGTGCTTGTTTCCGATGATGCATCTACATTCGCATCAGATCGGGGCTGCCTCTGTCTCTGTTTTGTGCGCGAAAAGGCGCTGCTGCCCCAGCAAACACCGAACCGCTGCAAAATCCGCAACAGATGAGAGTGCCTCTGGAGAGGCGCTGTCTCCTCAGCAGCGGCTTCATCTGCTCTAGCTCCTTTCCACGCGCTCAGAACGCAATCTAAACAACTGTTTGCGACAGAACCTTCCGCCTCATCACGCTGCACAAGGTCACGATCAGAGCCGTCTTGCTCCTGTTGCTGTTGCTGCAGTTGACCTAACGCTCTGTGCGTCTCAGATACAACAAGGCTCCACACAAAGGCAAGCGCGGCGTTCCGCTGCTGCTTCTCCGGCGGGACCACATGCAGTTGTTTTGTTGTAGATGCAGACGAATCCTGGGACTTGTCGCGAGATGCTGATTGGTGAGAAGGAGTGAAGTTCTGGAAGGCCTCAACGCAATCAGTAATGGCTTCCACCACCTCTGGCCAAACGGTGGCAAACTTTACCGAGAGGCCTGCGAGCAGCACGCGGTAGGCTAGCTGCAGCAGCAGCACTAACCCGCCGCATGCAGGCCCTGCTATTGCCCCCCCTCGCGCCTCTGCCCCACACAATGTATCCTGCAGAGAGCGCACCTCCTCAGCGCAAGAGTTGATAAGCTGTATTTTATGGCGCTCCGTATCGAGGTCAACTTTGAGCTTCTCCAAGGACTCTAGCTTTTGGAGGAGGCTGCGCACAACTGTGTTCGCCGCCTCCACCGGAGAGATGGCTGACTGCATGGGGCAGATGTGCCCCGCAAACGAGTTGCAGAAGGCGCAAGATAAAAGCGATGTAGGTTCGCAGCTGCTTATAAACCGCAGAGACCATAGACGAAGCTGAGAAGATCCCGATGATAGGTTAGGCAATAACGCCTTAACTGCCACTAAACACAACTCCCGAATGCAGTGTTGCTGCTGCAGGGCGCTCCCCTTTGGCAGACCGCTTCTGTTGAGCATCCTCAATGCCAAACAAAGACCCTTGACAAAAGCTGGACTCGCTCGCAAGGGAGCTGTTGTTCCTGCCGCATGCTGAGTTTCCAGAGAAGGCGTCCACATCGAAGTGAAATGCGAAGATAAGAAGAAACTCAGTACACATTTAAACCAGCTGCCTTCGGGCCCCACGGCAGACGCAGCAACCACCTTCTCGGGCGCTTCCGCTTCACCAGCAGAATCAGCGCTGCTCGAAAGGAGAGCACGACGAGCCCCTTCCATATCCGCAGCAGACAGTGCCGTTCGCTGTTCCGCGCAAGAGGTCCCAAAGCAGTTGCAGCACCAGCTATTGCTGCCCTTGCCGGTGGCAGCACTTGCTACGTTGCCTGCAGCAGCCGCCCTACTTAAACGATCAGCGCAGAGCTGTGTCAAGTGCTCCGGAGGGGCCGGACAAGTGAGTGCTTTCCCTTCGTCTTGAGAGGCCACTAGACGAGGGAGGGAAAGGAAGGTAACAAAACTGCGGCTGAAAAGGAGAAGAAGAGCACCGCGAAGTGCAGAGGCTTGCTGCGCTTGCTCCATAGCCTCAACTAGAAGACACAGGAGTTTCTGTTGTTGTTGCTGCAGCTGCGCAGCAGCCCTACGCGCACTCGTCGTCAATTTTATTGGATCTGCAGGTGTTTCTGGTTGTGCCTCGAAGTCTTCTGCGCAAGGTATAGCCTTCCGCAGCTCCCACAGCCACTGCAGACTCACGAATGCATTGGCTAAGCACCTCTCCAGCTCATCTGAGACCCTGGCCTGTGTGACCGCTTCCTCCGATTCTTGACGGTCGACAAGGTAGTCTCTCAAAGACGCCTCTAGTCGCTGCAATAGCGCACAAGTCCCCCTCAGACAGCTCTCGATGTGAAGAGGTAAGAGAAGTCGAATCGTTGCGCCTGTTGAGCCAGTTCCCATCACCTTCCCTTTCCTGCCGTAAGTTTTCAAGAGCGTTGCCAGCAAAGAACTCGCTGTCGCCCACCTCCACGCCGACATATCGCCCAAATGCAGCTCCTGCTGCATACGGTTGCTCAAAGAGAGGCGGCGGTCTGCAAGTTGCAATGCTTTGACGTGTTGGTCTAACGCACCACTTATCGCTGCAGGCTGGCCTGCAAGGAATTCTACTGCGTAGCGAAGACAAAGTGAGGAAAAGCCCTCAACAGGTGACGGTACTAGGAGAAGCATTCGCAAACTGCACAGAAACACTTCCAGCACCCGCTCAAACACGACGCCTTGCCACCACTCCCTCTCCACGTGTTGCGACTGCTGTTTCTGTTGACGCTGATAGCGCTGCACAGTCACCAATGCTGGCAGCAAATGTTGGAAAGGATTTCCCGTCAAAGGCATTGCTTTCGTGTAGCTGACAGAGAGAGCCCTCCACGCGAAAACGAGAACCCGAAGGAGGCTACACGGCAGCAGCACAGCGAACGCCGCCGCCGCACCGCAACTTGCATCTGATGCGAAACTCCACATCAGCGGCTGTAAAATTGGCGGAAGTGTTGGTGGCTGTTGCTGAGAACCCTCACCTAATGATGCGGCTGAGGGGGCTTCTCCTAAGATGGCATCGGGCGCCCCAGATGCCGACACACAGAAGGGCTGAACGGCCTCGAGCAGCTTTTGAATGTAAGCATCAAAACTGCCTGTACTCCGCGGGCCAGACGCAAACCAAGAAGCAGCTGCGTCGGCCAGGGTACAGCAGCCTACAAGCACCGGAGGAGGGAGGCAGCAGCGGCTGCAAGGCGCGTCTGCTGTCGAATGACAAGGGAAATGTCCGACCCCACCCTGGAAAAACGGGAACGATGTTAGCTGGCGAAAGGGGTAGAAGGAGAAAAAGGGGGAGAACGAATGCATCAACAAACAGAGCATCTCTTCTGCAGCCATCACCCGCTGCTGCTGCAGCTCTGCTGCCATGGGCGTCTGCTGCCGCCCCTCCTCGGCATGCGTTGGTCCAGCTAGTGCAGCATGCACTGCAGCACCAAGCAGCCGCAGCGTTACGCGCTGTAAAGCCAGCGCTGCAGGGTTTTCTGTGGAGGCTGCATGCCGTCGTGCGTCCTCCAGGTACAGCCTCACGCATTCAGCGTGAGCCAGGTAAACCTTCCTTCCACAAACCTTGTTGCCGGTAAGATTGTGTTTGGTTCTGCTTGCGCTGCTGCATGCGTCACCATCCACTGGCTCTTCGGAAACGTTCGACTCAAGAGGTGGAGGCTCGTAGGTTGCGCCGGACCCCGGGAGGGTGAAGCGCTGCCGCAGCAGGACGTTGGCAACAAGGAAGCAAGAAACCCCTTCGAAGGAATTCGTAAAGGCAGACTCCAACCCCCGGATGGTCTCGAAAAAAATGCGAGACGCAACGGTAGCAAAGACAGGAAGCCACGGAGAGGGAACGCTGAAAGCATATCGCCGCACACACAGAGGAGCCGTGCCAAGAATAGCGCGGGGAAGTTGACGGGGGCAAAATATGCAGTATATGCATTTACCACTGCGCAGCGTCTCCATACAGCACTGTAACCTCTGTCAGGGAATGCGGCAAGGTACGTGCATGCAAAAAAAGGTCGACGCTGTCTGCCGCATACAGTAAAGACAGATCACAGCTCCCAACCCAGAAGGGGAGCCCTGGCAACACAACAAATGCGACTAAGAAACATCAGGCAACGCACAAACGACAAGGGGTCCCACGGGGCACAAACGCGGCTGGCTAGCTAGTTGGTGTTCCAGCTAACGAGCTAGTTAGCTAGCTATTCGACTGAAGTGAACAATCATGCACCTTATCGGTGGCTGGATGCAGCATGCACTTAAGACCTACACCAGGAAATACCCCGTAATGGAGGCAACGCAATCATAGAAGACTTCTTCATCCCGTGCAGCTCTCCGTAGCACCGTTGCGACTGCCTGGGCCGCCATTAGCGCGCTGCCGCAAACTTTTGTCTCAGCTGTATCCTTCCGCTGCCTTTGTTGGTAGCTGCGCAGCCGCCTATGAGCCTGTCGTTGGACCGGCTCCCTCTTCTGCTTTTCGTTCATCTTGCGTTTCGGTGGTGGCTGGCGCTGCTTCTGCTGCTGCTCTTCCGATTGGTCGTTGGTGACGAGCTGCTCTTCAGACGGCAGCACCTGCTGCTGCTGCTGCGGCTCCTTAGCAAGTGGCCTCTTCCGCCTCTGCGAACCCCCCGGCGGCGCACTGTGCAGCAGCATTGGCAGCATGATGTCAAGGAAGTCCTCCATATTCAGCGCAAGATATTTGTGGAGGTACCTGAGGACAATCCACCGTTAGCAACGCAAACAAACGCAGCGAATAAATACAGCCTCCCAAAGGCAGACAGCCCCTCCTGCGTCATGACTCTTTTATCCTGTTCTGAAAGGTAAAGATAAGCCTGTGCATCAAAACTGTTCACCAACCCCTCAAGCCCCCCTCCGCTCCAGGAGCTCCGAAGTCCTGTTCCCTAGGCAGCGTGTGACACAAAATGCCATTTGGTCCCTATTATGTACTTGTGTCTGTACGCCTAAATACTTCATTTCATGTATTTATGTTTACAGACCAGAACATGTTTTGTATCATGGCAGTACACTGCAGTCTCTGTGCATTTATGCGTAAACATGAACAAAGCCCTCGTATTGCCATATATACATGCCTGAAGATTTGTGTGAGGCACTGAAATAGCTTCTGGACTCCATCAGCGTCGTGCCTGCCTTCCAAGTCAAACAGAAGAAGATGCAACGCTCCGATGCAGCTCTGGAGGTACCCCAGGAACTCTTGCCTCAGGTCCTGGGGCAAACAAACAAAACGCAAAAGCAAGAGGCATTGTATTAAGGTGTCTTAATTATATAACTGCATCTATCGTTGTCCCAGATAGAAATATATTTAGTGAAAAAAAGAAGGAAAATGAAGGGCGAATCTGCAAGGCCACCTTGGCAAGGGCTGGTAGGAGCTGCAGCACGACGTCGTATGTATCCTCTTTCCGAAGGTGCTGCAAAAGCAGCTGCAGTACTTCTTCCCTCTGCAGTAGCAGAAGAGGAAGAGATGACGCGAAGTTGCTGAGGTGTACCAGCAGCTGGCGAGCAGGGCCTCGAGCCTGAATTCCCTGCAAAATGTGCCCTACGAGGCGAGCGAAGTCGCTGGCCTCCGTCTCTGTTCACAGGCGTTACACAAACACCACGTTCAACCTTCGAAAATAACTAAAAGCAGACGCCAGCTTGAGTCCTTGAGCGAAGGTGGTCAAGCCGTTATCGCATCGATTTTCCGGCAACACATTTGGTGGTACTCGAGGGACAGAGCTTAAAGGGCAATTGACTACCTAAAACAACTGAGAAAGCAACAACTGTAAAAACACACCAATGCGTTTACGGGACAGCTCTGCTTCTTGGTCATCTGTCCCCTCCTTTAGTCTCTTCCAAGGTCGCCGCTCTCCCTGGTTGTAAATCTCCATGATGTCGAGAGCTGACAGGTGACGCGTCCCTGGCTGCCCCCGCTGCAGCTGCAGCTGCAGCTGCTGCCGAAATGTCTGAAACACATACTTCCCTGTTGCTTCATCTCGAACTTTGGTGCCTCCCCCGCTGCGGGCTTCAGCAGAAGATGCAAATGCATCTATGGGCGGATCGCTAGAGCCACTCGGGCTTTTCCAACCTCTGCACGATGCTGTATCTGCCGAAGAAGACTCTCCCAAATCAGGGGCATCTGCCGCTTTGAAAGTTTCGCGCACAGACGGCGGGGGGCCCTCAAGCCGCCTCCTCGGGGACCCCGAGGAACTGGGGGCCCCCATCTCCCTCTGGCTGTCGCTACCAGGGGGCAATGCAAGAGAATGTGAACCTCGAATGGTAAAGCAGGGTGGTACAAATGAGCAGACAGGGGCCTGGAAGATCTAAATGTAGCAACCACTAAAGGGAGTCTCGGGGGGCCCCACGGACTGCACGGTGACTACGACAATGAGAGGGCAGCTGGGTCTTCTTTTGCTGCCCCTAAAGGAAGAAATGACTGCCAAATGACCTTCATTTGATGAATGAAGTACGTGAAAAAATAAATTCAAAAGTTAAACGCTGATGGGTCCACGGGGCCTTCCTTCCCTGACCTTCTGTGGGGAGGCGCTCCTTCGGCAGTTGAAGGCAATTTTGGTTCACCATCTGGTGGCTCATTCTTCTTTCTGTAGACATTCAAGTAATAACTAATTATTGTAACTCATGCGAATTTCTGCAATACCAGTAAGCAGGCCCTCGCGCGGCTCACCTTGCGTTCGTCTTCGGCGGCCACGAGAAATCGGTACCATCCAACCCCAGTGTTTCTCTACCGTTTGAGTTTGTCATCTGATATTAAGAAGTTGCAGTACTTCTCTTTGGAATTTACACAAAATATTAACTTCCATGCTTTGGCATTGCTCCTAGTGGGTTTTCTCTATCCCTGTGTTGCCGTTTTGTGCCGCTTCATTGTTTCTACGTCCATGTGTGCGACACAATTTGGAAAAACCAAAATAAAACGCAAATTTTGGCAGGAATGGTTCCCCATACTATCGCGCTACTCACTTGTCCCCTATTGGCAGGAGGCTGGTGCTGGGCGTGACATGCTGCTGTGTTTAAGCACCTTTGTAGGATGGTCTACCCGAAGTTGGTGCATGAACAGTAGCTTGCCTGTAGTAGGAGGCCTCCTGCACGCAAGCAGACGTACAGCAATTGCCAGTGCAGGCATCGATAGGGCCTTGGTTTCGATTGGGTGTGAAGTTGCAGCAGTTGCAGCACTAGTGAGCGGCCACCGAGCCTTGAACGCCCTGGGAACGGACAACTCTGCTCCTTTTTAGGAACTCTTGCCTTGAGTTTTTTAGCTCGATCGCAGATCACGACTGCCCTCAGATAAGAATGCTTACTCTCGTTGGACGCTTCCTGCTGCTGCTGCTGCTGTGCTTGGGGGGCCTTGGGTTGCCCTTGCTTTTGGGTGTCCAGAATGCATTTTCTGGTGTATCTCTCCCCTACGTTTTCCCTTTAAGTGAATAAAACCAGTTTGTAGGACTCCTGAGGGTCAGGAAAAACGAGCAACCTTTGATGACCACTCTGTTTGTTGGCGCTTTGTGTTCCACAAGGATTCATGATGATATGGACCCAGCCCAGCGAACAAAATGCATCGAGCTGCTGCCACCGCGCAACGTCAGTGAACGCGTGGGCAGGTGACCAAATGGTCACTTTCTCCGGTTAATCTGGTTGGATGCCTGTTGCACACGGACGAAACCCTAAGGAGGTAATTGTTTGCATAAAATCCGAACATATTTGTGACTGGAGGAATCACTGCTTCCCCCGCAGCAGTTGCAGAGGACACAATATGTGCGGCAAGGGCTCCTGCAAATTCTAGCTGAAGACAAGCACGTCGTCCATGAATGCAACAACGCGTCCCCTCTGATTAGCCTTAAGAAATCGTGGTCAACCTACCGCTGCAGTTTGGCTGGTGCATTGAAGCGCTCAAAGGGAACACACGTGGCCTCTAGTTCGCGAGTGCGGGTAAGGAGAGTCATATTGTGGGAGCTGTCTGGATGTTTTGGAATATGCAAAACTGCTTCAGCGATATCAAATGAAAATAGATTGCTGAGCCGTGCAAGCGGTCAAGCAGATCATCGGCTCCCGGTATCGGAAAAACTTTTGCTTCATCGTGATGTTGAACGGCTTGGAAGTCGATGCACATGCACCTCCTCCCGCCTTTTTTTTCGCCAGCACTGGATAGTCTCCAAATGCGCTAATTGACGGCTGAGCCCTGACTCTGCTTTGCAGTTCTTCTGCTTCTCAGTTTCCTCTTCGAGTTGCCGGGGATGTCTGTACCTTGGAAAGAAGCTTGAGGCTGTTCCAGGGGCGAATTCGTTGGGGTGCATTGGGTGCCCGACTGGTTTACCTAGTAGCAATTTGCTATTTAATATATGCGAATTTTTTCCAACTGCCTCCATTTCCAGTTGATGTCTCTCGGGTCTTGACTGGGTCGAACACCGAAAAAACGCTGTCTTCGTTAGACCGCCACGACGGACTGCATGCATTCCTCCGTCGTTGCCTGCAGCGCCTCTCCACTGCGTAGGAGCCACCTTCTTTCGTCCTCGGCGGGACATTGATTAAACTACTCCTACCGTAAAGGATGTAATTGCTGTTGGGGGCGCTGTAAGGTGCACTCTCTCTGCTTCCCAGTGCATAGACCTCAACAGTGTCGCCCGAAGGTGGTATTTTGCCCTCCACTGGGTCGCCCACGGCTTTGCTAAGATTATGTCCCAGTGAAATTGTCCACCATGGAAATTCCGTATCCTGGAAATATGACATGTTTCTGAATTCCCCCATTTTGCATCCATTGTTTCGCCATTTCTCCAGTCCTGTGTGGCATCCGCGAAGCGCAACCGTAGAGACTGAAGCAGCAAGTAGCCAGATTGGCGGCGCTTCGTCGCCGTAGGATTCGCTATCAGATACACACCCTAACCTGTTTCAAGTAGGGCCAGAAAAATGCCGGGCATTAGGATAGGGGCAGAGTTAACGCGAGGCGGATCTGTAGGAGCGGGAGTCACCTCTTGTGACCTCATCAGCGCGCCGCACATTGCATGAGGGCGACGGCGTTTCGGTAATCACACTGATCTTCCCTTGGCGGATGTTATCGAGATCCTGCCCCTCCAGACCCTTTGTTCTTTTTATTCGCGTCTGCAATCTCGAATCACATGACCTTGTTCATTGCCAAAGAGTCAAATTCATCGGTTGGTACGCCCCTCCCGGCTTTGTTGAAGCCAAACCCTCCTGCTGCTGTCTGTTACAGCGGTTTATCTTCATCAGAACAGGCTGGCATTCAAAGCACAAATGCCATAGGTTCAATACCCGAGACACTGACAAACCCGCTTCCTTCTTTCCCCTCTAAGGTAGCCCACTGTTGGACTTCTCACCAAAGATTGATCCTGTCGATCAGGCTCCGTTCCGCCGTAGCTTGTTCCATTGCCGACCTGAAAACAAAGCTACAGCGCAGCGTACCTCAGCGGGCATCCATAATCCGGACGTTCTTCAGCAAAAATTGTCCTTAGGAATAGCATTACCCGCCTCCCCTTCTAAGAAAGATGCCACTAGCAACTATAGCTCCTATGGTGCATCTTGGAGACAGAAATACAACTCCAGAGAAGCAGCTCACTCCTCCACTATTCCCATCGCAGCATCCGTCATAAATCTTAATCAGTCTCCATAATGCAGGAGGAGACTGGTGCTGAGTTTTTGAATAAGGTTTAGGACGAGTTTCGCGAAAACCCTTGTTAAATTATTAAGACACCATCGGTACTAGTCACTGCTATGCAATAGACACCCTTGCTGTGGCGGTGGGATTCGTTGCTCGCACCTGCCCCGATGAACCGTGGGGTCCTATCAAATGTAACGAGAGTCTTCGAAGTCATCCTAGGACCAGTGTGAGCTAAGATCTAGCCAAAAAACTCCACGAAAGAGTTCCTATAATGCAGCAGACCTTCTCTCTAGTCTCCAGACATTTTGAGCACAACGGCCCACGGACCTGGGCATGTGGGCGGGCCAGCGGCCTGTCATGAGTTGGACGGCACGTCGCTGCAACGACAGCCGCAAGGCTCGCTCGCATGCAAGCTCACACCCCCTTTTGTTGTCTGCTCTGACGCTGTAGACAATTTTTGTACTTCTGCGTGCGAGCGGGCTGCCTAGAATGGCCAAGTAAGTGTTCATGTGCCAACATCGGACACAACACGTTACAACATTGAAGTCCCTTGGGGGAGGTTTCGCTCACATATCAACGCAAGAAGCTTTGTCCTATCAGATTTCTTTTGCTTGCTTTTCTTAGTCTATATATTCTTTATCCAAATCGTCTACTGCTTGCACTTTTTCTTCCACTCGTGCCGTAGCAAGAGTGGAAAAACAAGGTAACTGTTGAGGGTGGTGGCTACTGCAAAGCTGTGGTTGCCCTCGAATACTGTTTTATCGCTACAAATCTCCCGCTGATTAACTCACCTGGGCACAATATTGACTAGAAATTATGTATTTTCCGCCATCGGGGATGAATATCCCCCAAACTAGGGGCATTAACTATCTGGTCCATGAGCACTTGCGGGCTACGGAGAAATTATCGTTCTTCGAAGTGGAATCGCCCCCTATTGGACTCAAAGCTTTAAGATATTCCCGTAATTTTCCTATTTTACTGGCCAAAAGGAAATGCTGGGCTGCTGTGGCTCCACTCTGCAGGGCTTTATCTGCAGAGATCCGCATGTCAGGCGTCGTTGACCATCCGAGCGAGCGTTGGGGCCATCTATTGACAAGTTCTTCAGCGGCAAATTCTCCAGCTCTGAGATTTTTGTCTCTGCACGAAGTTTTTTTCTTTCTATGCCGGCTGCTATTGTGGATTCCATCCCATAAGCAGCCAACGAGGGTAATCCGCCTCACGCGGACCGGCAACCACTGCAGGTACAAGCGCCGTGTGTACACCGATGGGTGGCGCAAACAAGGAGTAGGAGGCACATTTTGTGCTTCTGTTTTCCTTTCTACAGCACATTTTCAAAGTAAACAGCCCCCGTTTCTTTTTTTCAGCACGAGGGGGTGCTGAATATAGTTGCCGTCTGCTCAACGCCGACGACGGCAAACAATAGGAAAGGAAAACAGGGACAACAACCAGCGTCTCAGGTCTACATTCACGAAGGTGAAATTTCTGTTTTACCCATAACGAATTCAATTTTTTCGGTGAGAGCGGTAAACACCAAAGGTCACTCGCAGGTGACCCCCCACTGACCCCACATTGAGCGGCCCGGAAGTCCTCTGCTCAGCGCGTGCCAATACTGCTGGAGTAGTGCTGCTTATAAAATCTCTAGCTAACATTGATATACCTACACGCAGCCTCAATGCTTACTTGGGGTGCTGTTGCAGAGCTAAAAGGGATGGCGCCTCCCCCCCACCGAAAGGTTTGTTCTGAAGGTCCGTTAATCTTCCCCCTTATTGCGGCCACCTTCCTTTCGGTTCGTTTCCTCTAGCACTAATCTTTAATAAGGTTCATGTGCCCGTGCTGACTCCGCTTGCCTCAGGTGAACAGGCGGTGGTCTGCGGCCCCCGCAGCGGGCGAGCCTCTACAGGCAGCTCTGCAGTTGGCCCACCGCTCCCACAGTACAGCTCGCATGACTCCATCTTCATGGATGGAACGCGTGGCACCGACTCTTTATTGCCAGAACAGTGGCAAAGCGGTTTGGAGGACGTCGAATGTTTACCGCCCGTCAGGTTCTTAGACCCTACGGAATGTTTATGGAACGCCTTTCAGCGCCTGGGAAACCTGCAAATAGTCAATTGCATTTCAGTCGTTTCGTCCCATCGAATAGAGTTGGATACTCTAAAGGAAGCTGCCATAATTGTGGCAAGGAGGAACCAAGCCTTACGACTTGTTATTCGACTGTCGGACGCCCAGGAAACCACTAGGCATCGCGCATTGCAGCTGCAGCAGAAGCAACAGCAGCAGCAACAACACCAAAAGCAAGCAAGCGATGATGGTTTGCTCGGGGAAGATTCTGAGGCCAGCAGTACCAATAGCTGCCCCTTCTCTCGGAGTTTTTGTGCAGCTACAAACCGCAGCAGCAGCAGCAATTCCTGCAGGCGAGTCACCAGCAGTGAGAGTTGCGCTGCATGGGAATGGGGTGCCCGCCGCAGCGCTAGCCAGTTCAGCCCACGAGAATCCAGTAGGGAGATTGGGGGCCAGGACGCGCGCAGCAGCACCCGCAACAGCTACAGCAGCAACAGGGGAGGCAGCAGGAATGGACAGCACAAGGAAAAGGCCCCCCTTGGATTTTCCATGCCATGCAGCTGCAGAAGACGAGCCCACCTTAAATTCACTTTCCATGAACGGCTTGGAGAGCCTGTAGTGGATGTCCAGTACGCCACTGTCAATGACTCTCTCTCCTCTTCCGGTTTCTCTTGGCCACAGCAACACGGCCAAGGAGGGATGCACCCAGATTTAAGCCTTCTAGAGGAATGCGACTGGATGAAAGCCATGGCATGGGAACAGAAACATCCTCTGAACTGTGAAGAGGGTGAGAATACGCAGCAAAGCACTGTACACTCAGTGTAGCGCAACCATGTAGAATTGCTGCCATTAGCTGGGTGCGTCTCGCTGCTCTCTGCATGGCCCTATGAGTAGCGGTGAGCCTTCCAAAGAACATATTGAAAAGCATATCAAAAACAAATAATGGGGAAGGTTGAGATTGCTGTTACCCTCACTTGTGGAGCTTGGATCTCCTGAGATGATCTGCGCCCGTACTGCTCGGCAGGGAACACATGGGGTCAACCTGTGGTCTAACCTCTCTCTCTAGAAGCTGTTATTTACCTGCGTTATGCACAGGCCCTTTATGGAGGTTGCGGATGATGCCGTCCGAAGAGGATATGTCTGCTGCTGATGAAGACAGCCAAAGCTCCCCGCCGGCCTCACAAGTGGGCAGAGGTCTTGAAAGGACGCATACATCACCAGTCAGTTGCCAAAGAGGCCTGGGGGAATCGAACAGCAGCAGCAGCAGATGCAGGAGCAGCAGCGGCAGCAAGGGGAAGCGCTTCCGAACCCACATTATTGGTGTGTTCCACCACTCAGCCATAGATGGAATAAGCAGGAAAGAGTTTTGGGATGAGCTTTTAAGAGCTGTAATCACCGTCAGCAACGCAAAGGTCTACGCCGAGTATGCCTCTCGAGTCAAGGCTCTTACAGCAACTACTGCAGCTGCGTCTCAACCCCTACCAAATTATCGCCAGCAGAAACTGAACCTGGAACAACAACAACCAGGACCCACCCCGGGGGCCTTGGCTTCTAGCATGGCTATGCAGACACCCCTCACTAAACCGACTTATCGCTGGAGGAGAGGTAGCAGCAACAGCAGCACATCTACAGCCTCTCCTGGAACCCTATACTTGCGCCGTAGCAGCGCTGGAAGCACCAGCAATGGCCTATTCCCCTTCGGCGACACGGAATACAGTGGAGGATCGTTTGACTCACCATCAGCAAACACTTGGAGTTATATCCGGCGCTTCTCTGCAGTTTCTGCCGGATCTGTAGACAGCTCAGCGGCTTACCCTGCAGATGAGGCCCTGCAAAGCAGGCACTGTCAAACGGACGCTCCTCTCACACCTCCTGTGACAGTACTTCCGCCAGCGTTGAATGAGTTGTTTCCAGTTACACCCTGTGTCACCGCGCTCAGGCCATTGATGTGTCCCGGCCACGGCCTGCACATAAAGCTATATCTTCTGGAGAGGGAGTTGCTGAAAGCACTGCGCAATCCATTCGCATGTTACTACCCGTCCAAACGCTTCCGAGCTTGCGGATCCGAGTACCAAGCTTATAAAGAACTGGCAAAAGCTCTTCCATCTGCTGATCTTCCTACTAAGCAGACAATGTACAGGCACCCAGGCGGAGCACCCGTGCAGAACCAACAACAAGAGTTGCCAGCTGGTGGGCCTCCTCCACAGACAAGCGAATTTCCAGAAGACACAGCCTTTACAGGAGTAGTGACCCTCCGACTGTCAGAAGAACTAACGGCAGGGCTCATTGCAGCATGCAAAGAACGAAAAATGACAATGAATGGCCTTGTTACAACAGCAGCGGCTGTGGCGCTATCCCGCATGCTCTGGCGGAGAAATCAAGTGATGCAACAACATGGCTTCCTCGCCGACCTCTCCCGTGTTGCTGCTGCCTCAAGTGAAGCCCATCATTTGCACCACTCGTTGTGGTCCTCCTATTCCATTCAGCAACATGGAGAGCAAATTCTAAAGGCGGAGGGCGGGGAAACACCGCAGGAGGAAGCTTGGGTTCATGGCAACGAACAGGAAAGCCTGGACACTGCATTGACTTCAACGTGCGCTAGCTCCGAGCAGGATTCCGCTAAGGCAGCAACCTCTGATAGAACTCAGTCTCCGAACAGCTGCGAGACCTGCTCAAGCCTACTCAGCAAGGGATCTTGTAGTAGTCCTGACTATGCGTCGGATCTCCTCGAGCGTCAAGGCGTTTCTCCAGTTGTGAGCGAAGGCATGCATCCCTACACTTCACTTCACGAGCTTCTGCAGACGATGCATTCTGGATCCATGGACAAGGCTAACGAGGAAACAAAGGAAAGGCTGCAGGGGACTGTTGCGTTCGGGAAAAAAAGTGGGGGCAGCCTGCGCTGTGGCTGGTCGCTTTCCCACATCGGCGAGATGTTGCAGCAGCTGGCGACGCGTTCCCCTGTTTCTGGAGAGGGTGTTCCTGGCATGCCTAGCAGACAATTCGCGAAACACAAGGGTCCAGTATACATTTATACTCTGCAAGCTATTAGTGGCAGAAGGTGGCTAGACAAGTGGCTTCAGGAGCAGCAGCGGAACGTGGCGAGCCCGACGAGGGGTCGAAAGATGAATCCCAGCGACGGTAAGCAGTTTGAAGAGTTTTTACTCCAACACCTCGTTGTCAGCATGAGACGCCACAAGTGTTCACGGACCCTTGCTGCAATGGCAGCGGCTTCCGTCACCATTTATACTTCTGCAAACCCTCCTTCACCTCACCTGCTCCCATTACCGCCTCCAAGACACTCATCATCATGCTTGTGGGGCAGTCCAAACGGGACTAGCTGCAGCAGAAGCAGCAGCGGCAGCCGGACCAGACGCTCCACACAGCAGGGACTTCAGCAGAGTCCACGCAAACTAGGTGCTGATCGTCAGCATGAAAACAATGCATTCTCCAGCAATCCTGAACAGCAGCAGCGCGTTAGTTCTGTTGCTGCAGCCAACTTAGCGGCGGCCATGAAGCCTGTGGGTTCCGTGCACAGACGTAGAAAGTGTGGGTGCCCAGGAGAGTCGCAGGGATCTCCGGGTGCCTTCAGCAACGATGACGATCTCTGCTTTAATACCGCAAAGGGCTGTGTGGAGACAACAGGACAAAGCTCCCTCTCAACCTCCAGCAGTTTGCACTGCACGATTACGAGCACTTTGAGTGCAGAATCCTTAGATGATCGTGCAGACAAAGCAACCGTATACAGCGCAAGGAGCACCAGCACAAGCTGCTCCAGGCGGCTGCATACCCACGCGCGGACTGTCGGCAGTCGCATCTCACGTGGGTTCAGGATGATAGCGCAATGGCTTTGGGGAACTCGCAAGCCCAGCAGCAGCAGTGAGAAAGCTGAAAAGCAGCAGCCTGATCTAGAACAGCTCCCTCCATTTGGACTCGGGTCGTACGCGTTGTTGATGCCCCTGAAGCTTCGAGTGCCCATGGAATGCAATCAGGAGGCGGAAGCGATATGGACTCTTGGCAAAGCATGCACAGAGACTGTGCATAGATTTGTTTCTTTACCTAACCCTTCCCTAGCTACCTTCGATTTCCAGCTCATTTCTTCCTTCGCCGAGGAAATACAGGGGCAATTAAAGTGCTTGCACCCCGTCAGAAATGATTCTTTCGCTAGACCGTCGGCGTTTCTGATCTCAAATGGCGGCGTGTGGGCTGCGAATGCGCTCGACACGTTTGCATCAAAAATCCATGAACAGCTTCGAGCTGTTCCAGAAAGGCACCGAAGATTGCTGCAGCGCGCGCTGCAGCACCAGATGTTTTTGCAGCAAAGAGCCTCCAGGAGACCGACGCGGCCGCCTCTGCCCTCGCAGCATCCATGTGGACCAGGAGCAGCAGAAGCAGTTCTTAGGGGCAAATGCCAATGCGGAGGCAGAAGACCAATCCGTAGCAACAGGCGTTCTGGTAGAAGCAGTGGTCAACCAGCAGCATCACCTCTGCACGCTGCAGCATCCCTTCCCGCTACCAGCACCTGCGTTGCTGGAGCAGAAGTAAGGCTACCTACTGACATCATGCACTCGGGAGACCAACAGCAGAATATGCACCACCAGCACCAGGTGGGGAAGGAGTGCACAAGTGGGCTAGAGCGTTTGCTGTGGGGTTTAGAGGGGTTGATGGACTCACTAAAGCCATTTGATCTCTCTGTGGACTCTAGCTGGTCCATCGTATGTCAACACAGGACTGGATTAAACTACTTTGCGCACAACTGCGTGACAGTCAACGGAAGGATGAACTGGTCTCTGCAGTACCACACTAATCTCACGTCACGTGAGATTGCTGCGCTGTATGCCGCCAATATTCTGGAAGTCCTGCAGGAAGCACACGCTCAGCACGTCCAAGAAAAGGCACTGAATCAGGAACAGCAATCAAAGTATGCGCGATATTTTGCTGCCGAAAAGGAACCTGGAGAAACAAAGCGAGCACAGGCTGCCGCGGGACGGTAGTGTTCGCTCCCTCGAAACGAGTTCCTTGCATTTTCACTATCATCTCCCTCTAGGTAACATTGGAGCCTTCATTAACGTCCCCTGGATTTTCTGGTGCCCGAAGCAGCGTATACTAGGTGTTCAGAGACTTGTGTACGACTCCCTCAACGGCGGGACAGACAAAAACAGGGCAGCAGAACCGGTCAGCCCTCAAAGGTGAACTGGTTTCGACTTGAAGAGTAAAAATGGCTTAGAGTTTTAAGGACTGGTCTTTTCCTGGATACGTGTTTCCTACGTCACAGGATTTAGGGATTAAAAGGCCTCCAGCCTGTCTTTTTCCCAAGAACCTTTAAGTAGAATTGCAGCTATAAGAAACCGCGTATTCTTCCGAAGTGATCATTCGCAACCGGAATTTAAGACAACCGAAAGCAAGCGTTGATGCTATTTCCTCGTTAGTGTTTGTGGCACGCAGAGACCCACTAGATGTGTAAATCAGAAGCAAAAAATGCGGCACAGGGGCATTCGCCTAACCACGCAGCAAAGAAGCAGACGGCCAAAGAGCTAGAGGGGTCTCGGCTACACTAAGCCCTTGAAGTCAATTGACACGAAGTGACTAAACTAGAGGCTCGTCACATTAGTTTTGCTATCAACGAGCAAAGAAAAAAAATCGGACAAAGGGTGACAAAGGGTGAATGCCATGAGGCTGTTAGCATGCATCTGTCATTTACATGTGGGGCCAGCATTCTTCTATCTGCTTCGCCAATCAAGTATACCATCAAGAAATAAGATGTTTTTGAGAGACTCCCAGTGGTCTGCACAAATTGAATCAACAACGCGCGCAGAAGCATACCGACAAATGGAAGAGCAACAGAAAAAAACCAGCAAGTAGGCCGTGCATTCCGTGGTGTAATGTTTAACCAAGAAACTCATGTATGTTTAAGGAGAAATGACTAATCCGCCACAGCGAGGAAACCGTGGCAGCTGTAGGTAAGCAGGAGAGTTGATATTTGCTTTTGACAACGAAAACCTTGGACAACCGCCATAGGAAATGTTTTTACAAATGAAGGGTGTTGTAATTACAAAGTTTAGAAAAGTCAAGCCTATTAAACCAGGCAAGCCAAAGCACGCTCTTCCGTGCTCGCCTCCTTAGCGAAGCACTCCGGTCCTATTTAAGGAGCCTTTTAGTGCGGATCGAGGCACTATAGAGGAATGATTCACAGCGCTTGTGGCTTAAGTTTATCCTGCATCGTACTTTTCCTGAAAAGGGCTTCCTCTAATGGGCCCCTCCTCTCGCCCCACAGCCACCGCCACCACCTGTCACGATGTGCGGCAGTCCCAAAACCCCATTTTCGAGGTGTCTGTGGTGAATTCTGCTGATTCTTCATGCTTATAACCATTATTTGGTTTTGCTTTGCATTTGGGATGCGCTGCAGATATCATTTGCTCAGAATTTCATCGCAGTGTCCGGAGCGAACTCCGCTGATGGACCCCCCTATCGTGTCGTCGGCGGCACGCAACAAGACGCACTTTTCCTTTGACAAAAAGTTTATGCTGTTCTGGTTCATGGCCTAAACTGACAGCCTAGATGATGCACGCATAGGGGGTGTAGGCCCCGGACCATTTGGTTTAAATCAGCGTCACCACTAGGTGTGGTGAGAGCCAATGGTCCCCCCGCGTGCATGATCCGCCTGCTCAAGTGCGCTAGCGTATAGGTATACTATTATTCTTATTCCTGCAGATCCATACAGAAGGCAAACACAAAGGTCACTAGAGCAGGTTTACCATGAGCTTGGCCCACCACGCAGTCATTGCAGCCCTCGTGGCGCTCCTGTTAGCTTGGCCTCCAGCGCTAGCCAAGCCAGACTCAAAGGGCAAGCATGCAAGCCTACCCTCCAGGAAATGTCCAGAACCATATGTGATGGATGTGACAGGCGTAAGCAAACTCATGCTGTTGCATGTTTCCTCCAGTGCAAGCAAACTTGTCCTGTTCAGACTCCGCACGCACATTCGCTAATACTTGAATAAATGCACTAAGGGAATCAATGAATGCAGTTTGGCATATCATCATCTGTCTGCTTCTCCTGTGGCTTCAGTTTGCTTGTGTTGCCCATCTGGAATGGTTTCCCGCAGAAACGGTGCGTTATGACGCATTCAATGAAGCCGCTGACGGTTTGCCCCAATGGTGTACTCCGTGACGGACTGTGTTTGGTATTGGCGCTGCCAGAAGCAACATACTGTCCAGGAGGATTCACGGAATATGTTGTTGATGGCATGAAGGAGTGTGTTTCTACAAGAGTGGCTCGTATGAAAATGGCTTGTTGGGGTCCTCATGAGAAACTAGAAGGCGACTTGTGCATTGAGGTACGACCATTTTCGACGCCCATTACTCTGCCTTTAGTTATCTTCTGCATACTTTGGCAGATGCTGCAGCACAAACCATAAGAGAGCCCTATGTATTGTACGTAATGCGATGCGTCTGCTTATTGTGCTGTTTCCGTACCAGCGCACAGTTTCTCCTCTTATATTGGAATGTTTAAAAGGAAGACTCAATCACGACAATCTTTGCGAGCACATCACTGCAGAGCCGCCCAAGGCCGTTTGCAGTCCAGGTTTCTTTGAATCTGATGGGCTGTGCATCCAACGTCGAGAAGCACCATGTGAAGCGGATTCCGGCACGGAACCGGCATCTTACATAACTAAATCAGGTGTATTCCTTCACGAAAAGCAGGAAGGCGCCCCAAGTTTCCACTCCAAGGTAACGTACAGCAACGCCGAGCACGAGCAAGGAAAGAAATCAAGTCGATGGGAAACGCTACGTCAGGATCTCGGTGCCAAATTCGTGGCTTCTGATGAGAGTGTGGAACTTTACCAGAATGTAGATGGAGTTCCTAAAGGCACCCAGGAAATATTCCCTAGTGCGGGATTTGAAAGTGCTTTCGACTTTGGGCTGGATGAGTCGGCTTTTTCTATTTCTTACGGAGAAACGGAAGGTCAACCATTTGGCCATCAGTGGCAGGACATCACAGAGGGCCCCGAATATGCGCCTAATGAATTTTTTTCGGATGTATTTCCTGAGTTTGTCCGTCGGCGCAGACTAAAGGCGTCGGTGTCACAGCCTGATCAGGATGCCCTAGCCGAGCGGGAAAACGCAGCCAAAAATAGGGCACTCTATCTGCCTCCCTGGAACTCAAACGCAGAGCATCATGTTGCAAACGAAAACTCTCAGGAAGAAAGCCCACACTCCAAAGACGCATCAACACGTTCTCACCTTCGATTGCCCTTCGTCAACCCAGTGGGACTTCCTTATGCCGGCCCCACCTCCGTCATGACACTGATGAATCAAAAGTTGCTGTACTCGCATAACAAGCTTGCAAACCCCATTGGAACCAGCATGAAACCTTCTGTGCGTCCTGCAGTGTGGCATGACCACCGATTTGACTCTCCCATAGGAAGTGAGAGAGGTCCATTCGCGCGTCAACAACAAAATTCGGCATACACGCATGGGGAGGATTCTCGGGAACCTGGGATTTCACAGAAACTGAGGTCGGTTTTGCAAAGACCGTCAATCCCACTAAGTAGACAAAGTACAAACGTAGTTGACAAGGATGCCTCCGCAAATCCAACTGTACAATTAAACGGTACCCCATCTGAAGCTCATGCTACGAATACAGTGCTGGGGGAGTACAGGTACGTTGACGGTGCAGCCAACATGACCGCAGAAACTTACATTGCAAGCGTAGAGGGGAGGCAAGCCAGCCGGCTGCAGGGCGTCGGGCGTCTCTTCACGAATAACCCCCAAAAGGACCCCGCAATCGGTGCCAGAACTCTCATGAAGACACGTGTACCCAGTGAAAGCCATACAGAGGTAGAGAGAAGGCTGCGAGGTGGACGTGGAAGACGCCTTGAAGGGCTAGACTACATACCAGGGTGTTGGGAAGTAAGTTTGAGTTTCTGGTGCAATGGTCCATGACTTCCTCCCCACTCGAGCTTTGCCTGAAAAGTTCAAAGATTGCTCAACACTGTATGCGTTGGGCTTCTAATGCTGCTGTAGGAGGAAATACAAACACCTGTTGACTGGACCTGCGATCCGCCATTCTCGCTAGACTTGGAACAATTCGTCTGCATCCGGGTTGAGCTCATGGCTCCAAACATCATCTGCGATGGGAAGCCGGAGGGCGACTTTTGCGTTCACGTCGTGAGTTATTGTAAATACTTTCTGGGCCTTCACTGGCTCGCAGAGGAATATGCAACTGCTCGTAACCAGAAACTTCGCCAAATTGGTTTTCTTGAACATGTTCTTAGTAATTTCTCAACGACGAACCGGTTACTCACTATGAAATGAATTTGGCTAAGAATTTGGATTTATGTAATACTTCCGATACGCACTATTTACTGTGCCGATCTGCTAGGATGTTTGCTCTATCAGGTGCAAAAGCCTCCCCAGTGGTACTGCCCACTCGACCCGCCGCCTTCAGGCAAGGCAAAGAATGATAAGAATGCAATGCACCAGGCTCAGAAGAAGGGGAAAACTAAAGAACAGGCCAAGCATGAGGGCGGCGAAAAGCCAAAGGACTCAACAAAGAAAGAGCAGCAGAAAAAGCGAGAACCTGGAGAATCTCAAGAAAACAAGAAGAAGAATACAGAAGACCCAGAGGAAAAAGACAAACCATCCAGCGGAAACGGCGAACGGAGAGGAGGGGGGAGGAGTGGGGGAACACGGTCTGCAGACAGCACAGAAAGCCGCAAAAGAACAGAGAATTCAGATTCTCCCAAAAAGAAAGTCGCCGCCAACAGCAATGAGTCGAGCGAGCAGAGCAATGGCACTCAGCCTCGGTCCCGCCGCGGCAACACCGGTAGAAACCAAAACACTGCCTCCACTACTACACAAAACGAAAACAGTGAGGGAGGGGACCAGGGTACAGGCAGCTCACGAAGGGACGAAAAACCCGAAACGGAACAGAACACCCGGAGCCCAAACCGAAGACAACGTCAGTCCAGCGCTGAACGCCGCGATGATAGCAGCGCACAAGATACAACCAGCTCGCGAAGCACAGGAAATACAACAACCAGCCGCCAGCACGGAGGACAGCAGCAGCGCCGCAGCCGGCCTGCTGAGACGAACGCCGCAGCAGAGGGTGAAGAATCTGACGATGACAAAGAGAGCTCTAGAGATAGAGAGGAAGGTTCTCGACAGCGACAGCCTCAAGGTCGGCGACCGCGCCCAGC